ATTTATTCAATTAACAAAATAAAGATGGCGACACTCGATATACAACTTCAACTACAAATGACCATTACACGCAAACCACATCAATTGAGCCTTTTAAAGTCAATAACACCATCGCGAAAGCCTTTTAAAACCCTCTTTGCATCATCAGTAGATAAACCCTCAATATCATGATCAACTTTGCCCTTGCGGTTTGTTTTTGGGTATGGCAAGTCCTCTGGCCATCCAACGAGACCATACACATGACCATCACGATATTTAGTTTTCGTAAACACCTTCTTCCAACTAGGAGCCACTTTTTTTTTGTCAGACAAGCCAATTGCCTTTGCTATAAAAATTATTAGAAATGAATTACATGGATTGGTTAGATGTGCGATACTCACACCAGGCATCTTTGGCTACGACTCGTAAATCTTTGATATCTTGCTCTTTGCTTCCACGAAGCTTCTTGTTTGATTTTTGAACAAGGTCAGCTGAAATGGCATTATTGCTCGGATCAAAGGCAGCCAGTAGAGCATTCGATGATTTGGAAGAAAAGTTCGAAGGAACAGGCGCAATAGCTGCAAAATATCCAGCGATCGTTGGTGTATCGTCCAGTGTTGAAATTGCTGCAGCAGGCCTTTTTTGAGAACCTCGTGCTTCATTATCCTCTCGTGAATCATCACCATCCTGGAACGAGCCATCAGAGTCATAATCGTCATCAGAGTCCTTCAGGATTTTGGGATACCTGCGAGTAGCAGTGTGGGGAGTGTGGGGAGTGAGGGCAGCATGGGCAGCGAGGGGAGTGAGGGCAGCGTGGGCAGCGTGAGGAGTGTGGGCAGCGTGGGCAGCATGGGGAGTGTGAGCAGCATGGGCAGCGTGAGGAGTGTGGGCAGCGTGGGCAGCATGGGGAGTGTGAGCAGCATGGGGAGCCTTCGTATTACCTGCCAAAAATTATCAATTTTAGACATTGAAAAACCAGTGTAATACATACCTGGGGTAATACGAGTTTTTCGCATCTCTCTTTCCAGAAAACCGATGATACTCATCGATGGCAGCGTTTCATCGATTTGTTTAAAGGCTTCTTTTGATTCATCTATGACATACATGTTAACGAATGTCCTTATAACCGACCGTAAAAAATGATTTACTGTACCAGAATTTGGCTGATACAATGGTACGTAGAGTTTATCATAAATGGTGTCAGTTGCTCGGTAAATCATCAAATGTGTGCGATAATTCTCTCTGAAGAAATCTGCACTTCTGCGAAATTGTTTCCAATGTCTATCAAAAGACTTGTACTTGGCCAACATGTCAATGTTCGAGGACCGCTTCTTCTCTTCCTCTGCCTCTAGTTTGTATGGCCGTTGCTGCTCTGCACTAAGCGCCTTCCATTGGGCTCCAAGTTGCTGCAAATGGGCTTTGCGCTCTGATTTCAGAATTTTTTTGCCCTGAGTATGTTCCTTCTGATACATACTCCAGCCACTGAGCTTTGTCTTGATTGCTTGGGGAGGCTTGAACTCTCCAATGAATTTTGTGTGATGCTCGTAGCACACATGTGCTCCAAGGTATCGCTTCACTTGGTCTTTGGTGAAGGCTGCATTTGTTTCAGCGAAATCATTTATCAAGAGATCCACTTTTTGGAATAATGGTCTTAATAAGATTTCATCATCACTTCCATACATGAAGAACGACTCAGTATGACTGTGTTTGTCTTCATCCTCATCTTCGTCTTCATCTTTGTCTTCATCTGCGTCTTCATCTTCATCTTCATCTTCAGGCTCTACAGTTAGGCGAGTGCCGTCGCTGTTATCACTCCAAACGTCCCCAGCATCTTGTTCAATGATTGATTCATCATCGGAACCACGACCAGTCTGCTGGCTCGCGTAATCCATCTCTCCTTCTAAGGCGCCAAAATAGTTTTTAATCAATTTACTCATTTTAATGTATAAAGAAAGAAAGAAAGAACAAAAGCAAAGAAAATCTCAAATGTATTTATAAAGATGGCTTGCTCTTAACGAGAACTGTATAATTGCAACGGCTTATCAACAGAAAATATGATCCACAGCTTTAACAACGCATGCATGAAGCGAGATCAATTCATAAATAGAAGCATGCGAAGATTTCAAAAATGGTACAAACCCGTTTGTGCTTCTCCCTTATGATAAACAGACAACACCTCGTCATTCTCCTTGAAAATGTTCTATAAGAATTTGAGTTGTTCCACAGTTGCGTAACATCGCTTTTGTCCAACATTAATTATCAACTAGGTTCTGAATGGCAAAAAACCTATGCTTATTTAAGAAGTGCAGCTTAAATGCCGACAATCACTGTACTAAGCAGCTACTTTGACGAATAATACAACGAAGCCATAATAAATGTAGGCATAGGCATATATGACAGTTGGCAGAGGCACACAGAAAAGTGGGCAGAGATGTATCTAAATGTGGGCAGAGGCATATATGAAAGTTGGCAGAGATGCATATGAAAGTAGGCGGAGATGTCTTTAAATGTAGGCAGAGATGTTAATGAAAGTGGGCAGAAAGTAGGCAGAGAAGTATTTAGATATGGGCAAAGGTATATATAAATGTAGACAAAGGTATATATAAATATAGGCAGTGGTGTATTTGATAATAGGCAGAGATATATATAAACGTAGGCAGAGATTTATATAAACGTAGGCAGAGATATATATAAACGTAGGCAGAGATGTTAATGAAAGTAGGCAGAGATGTTAATGAAAGTGGGCAGAAAGTAGGCAGAGAAGTATTTAGATATGGGCAAAGGTATATATAAATGTAGACAAAGGTATATATAAATATAGGCAGTGGTGTATTTGATAATAGGCAGAGATATATATAAACGTAGGCAGAGATATATATAAACGTAGGCAGAGATATATATAAACGTAGGCAGAGATTTATATAAACGTAGGCAGAGATTTATATAAAAGTAGGCAGGGATATATTTAAATGTAGGCAGAGATGTATCTTAAAGTGGGCAGAGATGTATATAAAAGTGGGCAGAGGTGTAAATGAATGTAGGCGAGAAAGGTATTCATGGGTTGAAATGAACAACGTTTCCATTGGACTAAAAATCCATGATGTTGGGGGAAATCTGATTGAACTCTGTAATAGTTAAATTTGCGCACTTTGTTTAATGTAACATGTAACTCTTTTTGAGTACAGTGTGGTACGCAACAGGTCTGGTTTTTGGTCGAATTTTGGCGATCCCAAAAAAGTTGAGCAAAGGTGTCAGCAAGTAAGTGCTAGCCAAGCTTGATGGTGTGGTACCAGTCTGACGGTTTAAAACGGCTTCTAGCGCGAGAAAATACTGCTCAAATGTATCCGAATTTCACTGTTTCTTGCTGGTTTTTGAGTAGAAAGACGTGATGTCAGTATGCTGTCTGCCCCTTATATGAATTATCTCCCTTGGCAAAGATGTAGAGCATCATGGAAGCCTTGGATCTTAAGTCGCAGGTGAATTCTGAAGAAATTTCACACGAAAGTAGTAAAATTCCAGTAGAACCCACACATAAATTGTACATATTTACATATTCGGTCATGGTATAAGTACTGCAGCAGTAGTAATGCCGCAGACGCCATTGTATATCAGCATTCTCTGGCCATGGTGGTTGTCGAATTCGAAGTGATGGAACACATTTCTATAAAGGCGAAACTATTAGGGATTTTGAAAGTTCTTCCATTCACGTAGTGGTTTTTAATGTGCAGATATCATAGAGCTCCCATCATAACTTATAAGTATCAGCTTTAATGAGAGAAAAAAAACTCTTTTTCTCCTTCAAACAAGCGTCTCATTACTGCCGCATTCTGAACATTGTGTCCTAGCTACGGAAAACGGTACTTGTCTATTAGGATCTTAACGAATCTGTCAAAGAAGCAACTCAGCTAGAACTGAAAAGAGCCAGCTTCCAACGCTGACACCACCTTGCGTTCGTTGTGAGCTATTTTATCAGTAATCCAACCAGTATTTTTATGTTGTTAGTAGCACCACGTGGTTTCTAATGTTGATCAAGAAAACTAAACATGCTAATGAGTAGCCATATCATTGATCCTTAGGCAACCCGTGGTACCTCAATCATTGGATCACGAAACTGAGGAAATAAATGTTACATTCTGATCCTAATTCTCACTTAGTAAGAAGCCTATTGCGCAATCCTTTGTTATCTCAGCAATGCTGATGCAAGCCCCAAGAAACTGAATATTTTACCATTATTGTGTATTACTTTTAAAACTAGATCATTGACAGATGACAAGTTTGATTTACTTGCTTATCAGCTTAACTATTCATGCTGTACACTCACTTGTTGTCCAATTCATTTACTCGCCCTTGATGTACTCTTCAACCATTGTAGAAACTTGGGAATTAAGGTTGAAAGCCCTTTATTGCCAGAGAAAACTTCTGCTTTCAATTTTGAATTGAAGATCAAATTCGAATGTTAAGGTTAGAAATACAGATCTTACGAGATTTTCATATTACGGAGTCAGATTCAAACAGACAGGCAGACACAGATTACATTCTCATATCCAATACACCCATTATCAGATTTGAATTAATAGTTCATGTAGCAGCTCGTACAACTTAAACTCATGTCGCTTGAATGCCTATAAACTGATATTTCGCATATTGCTTAAACAAGCAAAATGTAGGTATATCTTGACCAAGTAAAATGATTCCAGTCCTCGATCAAGTACTACTAAACAAGCTGGTGGTACACATCGAATTCTGGTACATAATCACAGGGCTTAAACCTCAAAAAATTTCTAAAAGAAATCAAATATCCGGGCAGAAAATCTTTCTATGAAATTTAAATGTAACCATGAACCACAACGCTTATCCAAATACACAGGATAAAAAAAAAGTACTTTACGATGGTAATAAAGGGATATATATATATATATATATATATATATATATTATGAATAATAATGATACAAAGTACACAAGTTTGAAAAAAAAAGAGTAGAGAATAAGGAGGTATAAGAAAAATATGTATACATAAACTAGAAAGTAAAGTTGTTGAGGTTACTATTATACGTTGTTGTGGTGGTAGTGGCAGGAGATGGTTCAGTTGCTCGAGTAATCAATACGCCCATTGTATCATCTTGCGCTGCTACACAGTATACGGACACTGGTTCATCGGTAACAAAGTTTTGCTGCTGATTGTACAAGCCATCACCAAAGCAAATGTTGTCAAAGTCCATTTGAGAAGACAAGAATTTGTCGAGATCAGTGTTTTCAGTGGATGAATCCAAGAATAGGTTTTGTTGTTGTTGTTGTTGTTGTTGTTGTTGCTGTTGTGGCTCAGCCGCTGTTGTTGTTGTATAATAATAAGGTTCTTGTTGAGGTATCATCTGAAAGTCTAATGGAGTAAATGGCACTGATGAGTTGGCACCTTTGGCCTGATTTGCCATCATTCCAGTGTTGTTGTTGTTGTTACTGGGAATGTATTGCATGTAAAATCCAAGGTTTTGCTGTGCTATTGCATTATCAAACTGGAATTGTTGTTGCGCCAATGATGGCTGCTGCTGCAGATGATGATGGTGATGCTGACGATGCTGCAGTTGTTGCTGTTGCAGTTGTTGTTGTTGTTGTGGTGGTGGTGATGGCTGTGGTGGCTGTTGTTGTTGTTGTTGTTGTGTATATTGGATAGGCTGATCTTTATCGAATTTGATCTCAAATTGATCTTGTGGCTGCACCGTTGGTTTCTGATCTACAATGCTGCTGGAAGAGGTTGAAGCAGAGGGAAATACACGCTGCAATTTTTGTTGTCTTTGCTTTTGCTTTTGCTTAAGCTTGTGCTGTTGATTTTCAAGAGCCATCTGCTGCTGCTGTTGTTGTTGTTGTTGTTGTTGTTGAACCTTGGCCCTCTTTTTCTTTTTGTTTGTAGCGTCAATTTGATGGTTGTAGTCTTTAATTACAATTGAATTGCGCAAAGATGAAGCATTGGCGTCGAGCTGGTGCACGGATGACTGAGACATTGATCTATCGCTGTTGCCAGGTCTTTCTTTTCTCTTTTCTGTTGTTCCTGGTGAAAAGACAATTTGAGCAGCAGTAACAATGGGCTGATTCATCTGCATCTGCTGTTGCAATTGCTGTTGCATGCGATTATCGTCTTCTCGTTCCTGAGCCAGAGAGAATCTGTTATTGTACTGTCGCTCCAGATCAATGAGTGCATGATGCAGCATGGAATTGGTGTCTTGCGATTGAGGTAGTTTGCTTAACGTGGCGAGACTCAGGCTAAAGTTTTTGTTGGCATTGTATTTCTCGGGATTTGCGCTGGCAGCGTTCATGATATGTACACGGAGAGCCATGACAAGAGCGTAGGCAATCATGGGCGATTTTGAATGATAGAGAAGCTCACTGAGATCTAGTTTTCTTGCTGCATCAGTGATGATAACAGCGGCGTAGGAGCAAATGTCGTAAGAAGGTCTGTTGCTGGTGTTTCGAACAGCCAGCACATCATTGACGTAGGGTCTATGAAGGAGAATCAGGTTGGTGCACAAGAACATTTGCTTTTGGAATGCAATTCGCTTCGAGATGGTCGATTCTTCCATAAGGACATTGGGTGAACTCGATATAGGCGATTCTGGTTCTTTCATCGGGTGCATGATGTCGATCAGCCATGAGTCTACACTGACTAAAAAGGCATTGTGTCGCTATAACAGACGGATGAGATGATATGACATGTCATGATCTACTGTTCTGCATACCTTGACGGGCCCCTGAATGATAAATGGGGGTGGCGGGCAGTAATTGAATTTGATGACTCTGGCAGTGATCTTGCTAAGGGCAATCAGCGTGTTTAGACCATCTATCCATTGAGCCGTGGCATGATCGTCCGTTGGTATTTTTATTGGCAATGTAACATCACTTAGTAGGACAAACAAAAGAAAAGGTCAATATACAAATAAGGTCATAGTGTTGTATTTCCTTTGGTACTCACAGCACTTTCTCCTCGGTTGCAGAGGGTCTTCCATAAGTCATACTGATGGTGCAATCCGCAATGTAGGCCAGCCAAAATGTGCGTATACAGAGTTGCCCTGTTGAATCTGCCTCTGTGGAAATAACGGCCCGATGAATTCCCAAATCAAGCGCCATACGAAAAGCTTCTCCAGCCCATAGCCATGCTTTTGTGAGATCTTGATGCTTCTTTTCTTGTTCTAAATGGTTTGTCATGATCACCAATGCCAAGACAGTGCTGATTCTCGGTCTGTCTTTATAGTAATTAACAAGAGTAGATGCATAATTCATGCATTCTGTTCCCAGCGATTGAAAAGAGCGATTATCAGTTGTGAGTCTGCCAGTTGTTTCCACATGAGCAGCACGTGCAAATAAAGCGTAAAAGAAGAGAGGAGATAGATAGCTGCATTTGGGGTTGTGTAATTGCGACAAGACTTCCTGCTTTGACATTAAGGGGTAGAATGGGTTCATGTTGTCATAGTAAGTGTCTATTAAATAGAGCTTGTCGCTTGTATCGATATATGGCTCTTTTGGTATTGAAGTAAATGTGGGGAAACTTTCTTCAACGAGTACGACCGAGGGTTGTTCCAAAGAGGGAAGATAACCACAAAATGAAGTTTCCCCTGTATAATGGCCTGATTTTAGCAGACCGGGTTTACGGAAGACGGTTGTCGAGGGTATTGATTCACTGGATTGAGTGGCTAAAGTGTTGGCAGTAACAACGGAAGAGGAGGATGGAGAAGGAATATCTACTTGATCTTCTTTTGAGACATCTTCATGGTGCAAGCATTGACAATTTGTCCTTGTGCAATGCTCATGAGGAAATGAATTTATATCACATCGAACCTTCTTCTTTTTGCACACTTCGCAGGCCTTGTTGGTGGGCCTCGCCTTCTTCTTCTCTGCTTGCGAATTGCTGGGCTCCGGCTCAAAAAATCGAAATTCGACATCTGGCGTTGTTGGATTTCTTTGGATCTTTATTATATCAGCTGCTATGGCTTTGAGGTTTTGTAGTGATGGAAAGGGCAGTGGTGGTGGCTCTTCATACATTGGAGAAGGAAAAAAATCAAGAAATGGAAAGAAGAAACCAAGATATGAGAAGAAAAACGGGCGCGTTACTCATATATACAACAGCAGTAAGGTAGCACACATATCTATACACACACACAACCAATATACGAAACTTTTTTTTTATATATAAACCACGCACACGCTCACTCTTGTCTCTACACCCTAGATGGTAAATCTATTCTCACTGGTTTTGGAGGCAGAATCACCGTGAGGAGTAAATTCCACAACTAATGCACTGTTGAGATTGAGGAATTCCTTCAATTGACGACTATACATTCAAATGTGGGTTAAGACCTAGTTCCTTGAGGTGATCAGCATGGCATATACTTTACCCAATAGTTTCGATTCTCTCATTTCTTTCGGAACTCTTGATCCAAAGAGCAACTCTATAAAATACTTTACGCACAGAAACAACAGCACCACAAATCTCGTCCTCGTACTTGAATTGCTCTCCCAACATGGCGAGAATCTGCGTCGCATGGTTAGTGATATCATTTCATCCTTTCTGTCATCATCCAACATTACCAAATTAAGCCAGTAATCGTTGATAGCCTCACCGGTTCTATTTCTAGGGAATTGAATGCTGAATTTACCACCGTTTGCATTGGCAGCATCCTCCCATTCAGGACGGATACCCTTTTTGAAAACATGGTAATTTGTGTTCAGTTCGAGATGGTTGACTTTGACAATGTTGTTGTGAACACTAGCCACAGTATCAGTATCTCGAGTAAAACAACACTACGACATGCTTACCCCCAGAAATCTTCGACGGTGCTAACATTGACAATCTCCTTTAAATTTTGAGACCAAGAAGCTGCACTGGCCTTCTTTGGTGGGTTATCAAACCATAGAGTCCACGTATTTTGGAGAGGATGCTTTACGTTGTAGTTTTTGGAGTCGTGGAAAACTGTCTTTACTTGGTCAGAGCTGGCATCCACGGGCGATTGTGTTTGTTGTTGTTGTTGTTGTTGTTGTTCGTCACTGATAGTCTGGTTGGTCTGTTCTTGAACAACTGGACGTGTTTCTTGTTCGGTCATGATATGTATAAGTTATTCTGTTAAAGTCGATAGTATTAATATGCGAATGTTATAGTCGAAATAGTGCTTACTGACCCTTTTTGAGAAATAGAAACGCTGAGAGAATGCAAGGCAACCAAAAAAATCTTTCATTCAGAAGGGCATCATCCATACTAGATGCCATTTAAGATCCGGGAATGTGACGCTATACGGTCTGAACCGGGTGTTTCCCGGGAAGATGCGAGTGAGATTTCAAGCTCTCGTCAAACAGCAAATCCATTACATCAAAGGGAAAAAAGTGTACAAACCTATAGATCCTCCTCTCTATCTGCGGTATGAAGGTCCGTAATATACACCAACTTACCATCATCGTCAATGAAACAATCCATCCAACATGATTACAGCACGAGATGGATGTTATAGATGCATAGATCTAACCATCCATTTTTCCCAATCTTATAGTTGAACATTGCCAACCCAGCCACCGGCTGCCAAAAATTGATTGAAATCGAAGACGAACGTCGTCTGTAAGTTGTTGTTGTAGATGCAATGAGCATTAGGGAATCTGTCGATGATATTAAATGCATGTTAAATAGCCGTGGTTTCTACGATAAGCGTATGGCCCAAGAGGTCTCTGGTGATTCTCTCGGTGATGAATTCAAGGGTTATGTTTTCCGTATTTCTGGTGGTAACGATAAGCAAGGTTTCCCCATGAAGCAAGGTGTCCTTTTGCCCCACCGTGTTCGTCTCTTGTTGTCCAAGGGTCACTCTTGTTATCGTCCTCGCCGTACTGGTGAACGTAAGAGAAAGTCCGTTCGTGGTTGTATCGTTGGTTCTGACCTCTCTGTCTTGTCTCTTGTTGTCGTTAAGCAAGGTGAGCAAGATATTCCCGGTTTGACTGATATTACCGTTCCTAAGCGTCTCGGTCCCAAGCGTGCTTCCAAGATCAGAAAGTTCTTTGTAAGTTGACATGTGTAGATTTAGGCACCTTTCATTAGACATCTAACATGTTATTGTATAGAACTTGACCAAGGAAGATGATGTCCGCAAGTATGTCATTCGCCGTGAAGTTCAACCCAAGGCTGAGGGTAAGAAGGCTTACACCAAGGCTCCTAAGATCCAACGTCTTGTCACTCCTCTTACTCTTCAACGTAAGAGACACAGACAAGCTCTTAAGCGCAGAAGAGCTGAGGCTTCTCGTGAGGCTGAGTCCGAGTACAAGCAATTGCTCGCCAAGCGTGTCAAGGAATCCAAGCAAGAGAAGATTGAACGTCGTCGTACTTCTTCCATGCAAAAGTCTGCTTCCGCTTAATTTCAATTAAGTTATCATCATTAAAGAAAATTTTTGATTTACCTATTTTTTGGGCACCTTATTTCAACATCTGCTACGTTTGTGAGAAGAGGGATGGCGATGAGCGAGAGAGAGAGAGTTGCTCGTGATTCATGCATTGACTAGTTGTCATGTAATGGTGCATTTTGTGTGATTTATTGGGTTGAAGGGGTTTCTTAAGCTTTGGAAATTTCGAGTCATTGAACCTGTTGACCCAGCCAACAATTCCTCTATAGTATTGGCTTGACCTTTGATTCATCATTGAGTATTGATAGCGTATCCTAGAATTAACGATTGTATCCATGTTAATGCCCATCATTTACCGATAGTACAGTGCTCTGACATCAATGCCAATGATTAGAAACTAATGCTCCAAGAGTACGAGTAATTCGTAGTGTTTCCGAAACGAGAATCAGTCAGGCACCATTATTCAAACAGCTTGATTTGACAGCTACAGCATAAAAGTATGTTGCTTGCCTTCGTTCAACAGCATCCCCTTGATTCAATCACTTTACCATCATGGCAATACGCTCCACCACAATATCGTAATTTTACCACAAAAAAAAAGTAGGAGAAAAGAAAGATGAAGCAATGGAAATAATAAGAAATTTATTTGTTTATTTTAAACTGGAGAGATTTAAGCACGGGCAAGACGAGCGTTACGGGCCAATTGACGAGCATTGAGCTTGACAACCTTCTTGTCGTCAGCACGGGGAACAACCTCATCCTTTTCAGTGAGAACAACCTCAATGTGAGAGGGAGAAGACATGAAGGGGTTGATTCTACCGTGAGCACGGTAAGTACGACGACGGTGTTTGGGGGCTTGGTTGACGACGATGCTGGAAATGTAGAGTTCCTCAACGTTCAAACCCTTGGCCTGTATTAAAAGTAGCGTTGTCAACAGACCACATCACAAATAACAGAAATCAACCTACCTCAGCATTGCTTTCGGCATTCTTCAACAAGTCAGTAACGAACTTGACAGACTTGACGGGCCAGCGACCTTGAGTGGTACCGAATTCCTTGGCTTGAGAAGCACGGCCAACACCACCGTTGAATCTACGGAAAGGAATGACTTGCTTGTGTTCGGTAACGTTGTTGAGGTAGGCATAAGCCTTGGATAACTTCAAACCCTTGACAGCGACAGCAACTTCGTGGGTGTTCTTGAACTACAGTTTGAAATGAAGGATGAGTTTGCTTGCGCTTTGTAGACATCATTTGCAAGTACATACGTGAACACGAAGGTAAGAACCTCTAGACTTGGAGGCTACAGGAAAGAGTTAGACATGTCAATCATAACATTTGGCATAGTAAATGTCAATGTATTTACCCTTGGCGGGGTTAGCCGGTGTAGCAGCGTATCTGACCATTATTGCTCAAGTCTATTAAGGGTGACATGAAGGTTAGCTACTGTTTACTCGTACATGCCATCATGCCAATCCATCCAATCTAACAATGCAATTTCTTGACCCCTCTCCCCCTCTTGATTTTCAAATCTACACATCCATCCGTATCTGTCATCCAGCATCATCTACATTACAGTATCCACATCTGTTCCATATCTCTATAAATCCACCCATCCATGACACATACTTGGAAATACGCAAAGAGAGAGGAAGATTCAATACATGCTTGTTGATTTCTTGTGCTAGTAACAGCAGGCAAGCCTCGATTTTTTTGCTTATGACTCCGGGGGGGGGGGACAAATCTCAACCGGACACATCACGTGCTGTAAAGCATGGCATCTAAACGTCTGTTGATATTCCTAATACATTTGCCAAGAACATTTGCCATTTTACTACACAATTTCATTATAATGAGGAGGAAAATTTTATTGATTGAAATATACATTTTTATAATACAAGTATGCAGGATGATTAAAACAAAGTAGGGGGAGAATATAGATAGATATGAACATGAATAAATGGTTAAGAGGAATGACATTTGCGGGAACAATCCTGGCATTTAAGCTTTGAGGAACTAATCGCCGAGGTCAAGAGAATATCAGGCGATTGTTGTTTGGCTTGATCATAGTTGCTCAGGACAAAATAGCCTCGACTACGACCACCTTCTTCTTTGCTGCTAGCCATCATAGCTCTGAAGAGATCTTTTGTATGCACCCACACGCTAGGATATTTACCACGAGCAACGTCCATGATCAAAATTTGGCCTTCAGCCTTGTTGTAACCACCAATGGGACTAAAATGAGCAAAGTGGTCTTGCTGGCCAAGACAAGCTCTGGAATAATTGACCACCATTTGGCTTGTAGTGTCCGATGTTACAGTCTCAAGATCTGAGAGGAATTGGCTATAGCTTACACCACGACGAGGTTGAACTTTGCAATGGGTTTGAGCGAGACATGTGAATTCATCAAAGGGGATGCCATGTTCTTGAATAGACTCTGCAGGTGAACACGTTTTCATTTGCTCAGATGAGAACCAGCGCCAGTTTCCCTTCCATGTTCTTTTAGGATCAATCTCAAGAGCATTTAGTACCATGGCCACTATAAAATCAAACTGCTGTTAGTTATTAGAGCATCAAGTGATTTGTAATAACTACTTACAAGAGCTGACTCCGCCATGAGATGGAGACGATTGTGTAGAGAAGTTACCCATCAACTTGAAGAAGCTTTCAGCATGTCCTTGAACCATGGCGTTACGAAAGAGTCTCTTACCCTCAACAGATGTAAATTTGACGAGATGCACGTCTTCTTTGTTTCTATTTGTGAAATCAAAGAGCTGGAAAGAAGCTTGTCTTCCTTGCGTAGCAGATGTATCTATTGCAGTAGTTGTAGTTGCTTGGCGAGATGCCTGAGACCCAGGAAAAATAGTGGTACGATTATTCAAAATGTTCTTCTTGTTCGCTGCTTGTATGAGAGAAGATTTGAGGCAAGTTTTTGATAAAAGTGTGCGAGAGGCCATGATGATGATGAAAAAAAATGAAAATGTAGATGGGAAAGATAAATAAAAAGATCTATTATCAGATCCTTTTTTTCTAGGCCTTTTTATTCTTTTCTCCAGGGCGTAAAAATTTTATCAGATTCCGACAGATCTGATAAACTGTTGTGTTACTTTTGACCCAATCAAATTACAAGGATCAATCAAGCAGTTATACGTTAGTAATGAAAAACAATCTAAGAATTATGTATGTATATTATGTGTCACCACAATGGGAAGCACCCACGACCTGTTATAAATTAGCCGGGAAGATCATTCATTCTCATTCAATACTGTAATCTTTAATCTGAAATCTCACTCGGCATTCTCTTTATCTCTTTTGGAGAAAGTAGAAGAAGAATTTACTAATTGTGTACTTTTGTCATTTTGTAAAGCATGCCCATTGATATTCTGATTTAAAACGCACATGAAGTTTTGTTGATATGTATTTCATTATGGTAATTTTGATCTCCACACATAAAACAATCTGATAACATGTCCCCTGCGGTATAAGAATTTCTCATATCTCGAGATGGAAGTGAACGGAAAGTTTAAATTGAACTAGTAAACACATGGATCCCTTCAATTTACCATGTTGAAAATCGCCCACTCCTATTGAGCCTTCCTGATTGTTGCCTAAAGCTCTATAAATTCTACCTGGATCAGGCTCATTATAAATGTATGAAATATGATAACAGGAAAGGTGATGGCATCCATGATGAAAACCCCGGGAAATAATACTGATAAGATCCTTTTTTAAAAACATAAAGGTATTTGTAAAAAAAAAATCAGCGAGATGAAGTTGCAGACATATGGCTCTCTTCTATCGTGGTAAAATAGCGAGGGTTTATATCCAAAATATCACCTGCAATGTTGGATAGGGCGAGCATTTATATTTTGCGTTTGGGTAAGCGAATCTCCGCAATTAACTACCGTTAAACATAAAATCGCGCATTATAATTAGAGTTTAGTAGCTAGGCTTAACTGTAGTACTGTTTGATTCGCAATCCCCATCTTATTAGCTTCAAAAACGTAGATTGCCGATGTTAGAAAGGCATTCTGGTCACCAGCCTGAAAGCAATTTTAACTTCGCTTGCCATTTTTTTTTCAGATTGGTCAAATTCTGAGTAGTATCGACTTGATTGAGCTACTTTGCCAGATTCGACTATACAGATTGTGGAAATCATTCAGGTTTCCTAATACTTTCTTGAAGCACTTTTGAAGGCGCATACAATGGTACCAAGTAAGATATATGTTTTAAATAAACTTATCAAATAATCTACGAAAATATGAAAAGAGGTTTCTGGCCAAAAAGTCGAAATCTTACATATCAAGGTGCCAAAAAGATGATTTCAGGGGCTACGTTAGATCGATAGAAACATTTTGATTCAATATATGCCATAGCAAAAGTCATCATTTTCAAGGTAAAAAACGCGATCGTTTGATTTTCGTAAAAAACCATGAGGTACCCCTCATGCTTTTTGGTCGATTTTTGGCCATGTTTTTTGGGTCTTCAAAAAGTTGAGCAAAGGTGTCAGAAAGTAACCGCCAGATGAGAACAATTGTTTGGCGTCATTCCAGCGGCTCAGAAAGGTCTATATGTCAAGATATGAAGGCTTGAAAACTGTTGAACTTGGCTGTGCTTCATGCATTTGCTTATCAATAGGTACGTTTTTGTTATGACACAAAGCCATAAAAACATTGCATGCATTAATCTAAACTTCGAGCATTGTGTTGCATCCAAGTATTTAGCTCAAGCACTGTTTCTTTGTTATCTATTATCAGACAAAATCTCTAGATGAGCTAAAGCTTGCATTTGCCCAAAGGGTCTCAAGCACTATGCACGATCCAACCAACTACATAACAGCTTACGGACTCCAGCTGTATAAGCTTATGATTCTGTTCAAGGACCATACCCTTAAAGTGAATACCAGAAATACCATCATCGTCCAAGAGCTTCGAGGCTTGCAATGTGGCTCTATTCTTCCTGATTGGTTCTCGCTAGAGGATCAGCAGGTATTCGTAGCGCTTCCTTTGCAAACTGAGGTTCCTCAGCTCGATATGTTTGCAAATTAATACATGAAGTTGTTCAACGACACACATTTGTAACTGTTTGTTCAGCGTATTTTGGTCCTCAGGGCGTGGCATCTGCTTCACTGGAAACAAACCCACTTTTCAACGCTATATACAACATTATTCCTAGTAGATGAGCAAACACTGCCCCTGAATTGGATCCATTCGTAATGCACATCACTTTGGCTCAGTACAAGACCAATTTCACCAATATATGAAACTCAAAAAGGTTCACAAAGCTCTCAGATTGCACATTGCTTCTGAGCATGAGCAAAAGAAGCGGGGTTGCATTCATAAGAAGCAAGCCAACACAAGAGAGGAATCTGCTGCTGTTTTTGAGCATCCCTGTTGACAAGATTTCCGTCATCCAATTGTCTCGAAATGAAAAGAGAAGCCTGTTCGACAAGGAACGAAAGAAGCACAATTTATACGTCAATAAGTCAGCGCTTCATCAAGATCCCAACACGAAGAGAAAGTATCAGCAGTGAGCTGACAGAATTAGTGCAAGCAGCAGCATCAGAGGCTATTATGTATTGGCACCAAGCCACCCAAACCTGTTCAGAATATGCAGGAGATTAAATCATTGCAGTGATTAATTGTCACACAATGTGCAAAACAGTATGAGAGAAGAGTATGAGCAAGGCTGCTTGGGATAATGTGATAATGAGATAAGTATATTTAGACATAAAGGAGGGGCATAAGTGGTATCATCAGACGGCCAACGTATACATTGGTGCGGATAGGATCTCAGAATATATCAGCCCAAGATATCTCGTTCTTCAAAGTGGGTCGCAACGCTGATGAACATATTTGGATCAATCCTACTATAGCAAGAGGAACATATTATTCATTGTTCTAATAACTATTGGAAAAGCGCCTTTAGATATATGCCTTACCGCGTGCCCCCAGATGTATATTGGTGACAATTACTTCTTTCGAACCAGACGGCCCTTTTTGCAATGTCTACTCTATGTTTTGTATGGCACACAACGGCTATTCCATTTGTGTTAACCCTATTACGGAAGCAGCTTATGCTAGGCAGGTTCAGTATTCCCTTCGAGCCCTGTACAAGCTGCTTGATGCGATCCCTTGCCTGTTCTGCGCAGATACCTTCCTGCCCTTTCTACCAGATGTAGACTGACCGCATTCTCAACTGAAAACACCAATCTCATATCTGACAATTCACAGTATCATTCATGTTGCAATTGTGGCTGTACCCTTCAATCTGTGTGTTGGAAATATCTTGATCTAATTCGCATTTAATTGCTCACAGTTCGGAATGACCATTTGATATCAAAGCGACAGAGGTCATCTTGTAGCATTTATAAGTTTTGTATTGCAGTTTTCATCACTAGTGATAGTAGTCTGTATGCTTCTTGATACATGTCATTTTCGCCTTCCCCATCAACGGAACTATCTCAACTGCCATTCAAATAGACCCGAAAGTACGGTACGAGTAAGTTCTAAAAGGAAATTCGTGAGCTACAATTAAGCATCAGTTTTGTTTACCGTCATAAACATTCAAAATGAGTAGAACATGATGTATCCTCAGTGTGAAAATCGGGTACCTCATTTCTTTTTTCGAGTAGATTATCGTAAATCTTTATTACAACTAATTGCTACTCAAGATCGTCATCTTCCGTGTCATCTTCCGATAGATCAACTGTCGCTAAAGATGATTTTCTAGTACTTTTTTTGTGGGTTATAAGAGCCCTATTTGCTTTTTCTTTTCGAATGGGTATTTTAATTCCTTGTCGGGCAAAGCATATGGATAGTGGAGTAGATTCTATAAGAAGGGCGTTTCAGTTTTGGGCTTTTCTTACTCTTTTCGTCTTTTTTCCACGATAATCTACTTACGAACGACCCCTGGGTACTTCTTTACTGTGTAGACTATAAAAGAATCTGTCTCCACTACTGCCAAAACTTTAGATACGGTAGTTGTATTGACGCTATTGAAGTGGGGCCTAGATGGAAGGAGGTAAGAGAGAGAGAGAGAAGGGGTTCGTTTTGTGAGACATTATATCGAGCAATTCGCGTATTTGTGTGTTTACTTACGATCCAATATCTGTAAGAGAAAACTGCAGCCGAAACAGCCCTTCAGTCCTTAAACTGATGTCTTGGAATATGAAAAAGATGCCTAGTTTTCCATCCAGATCGTATAGTTTCGTAGCAGATGCTACTGACGCGCCCACGAGATTCTTTAATTTCGTAGCTGTATATCTATCGCTTTCGAGTTCATGTTCTGTGCTATTTGAAAAACTGACGACTTGAGTCGTGAATTGCCCTGACTGGACAACATCCATTGACGACGAAGCTTTGTCATCAGCCTTTTGAGCAACATGTTCCTGGCATGCGTCGCACATGACAACCAAAAATGAAATATCAAATGTTCTATGGATTATCAGCTCAACTTGTCAATACTCTTCTAGAAGAAAATAGAAGGATCACTTACTCTGGGTCTATGATGTTCCCATTCTTGGTGAAAACTGTCAGCTTGAGGATAGGTGGAGGAGAAATGGGTCTTCTATCTTTATCGCCAAATCCGCACATCCTAGCCCTTGAAGGTTGTTGCACAATTTCTAGCTTATAATCTCTAGAAGATTCCGATTAGAATTAGTTTTGCTTTTCGTACTCTATACTACCTGTACTCATTCGCGAAAAGATGTTCGTAATCTTTCTGTAGCACTATACCGCTTTTTGCATTTTTATCAGCTTGCAGAGGCAATGAAAAATGCGCATTGTTTGGTGGATTCGCAGCCGTAGGGTTGTAACAAGAAGCATCTTGCCCTTGTTGCGTAATCAACGTGGAAGTATCCAAGTTGTTGATGAATGCCGTTGTATGTGTTTGCTCACTATGCCACACGTTGTTTTGCATATTGTTCATCGAAGCCATATTGAGCAGCTCATTAAATACATCTTGTTCTTGTCTGGCAGGTATTGCTGGGGTCTGTTGTTGTTGTTGTTGTTGTTGAGAAACATAACCTTGCAAGTTTGAATCAAGTGTCGTTGGATGATAACTATGGTTGTTCATCATTTGAAGGTATTGCTGGTAGATGTATTCGTTTTCGTCTTGTATAGCATTGGATTCTATGATATCTACGCGTTGTTGCTTTGTCGGATCCATCGTGTTATTAGAAGATGCGGATGAGGATATCCCCTGATGTTGCATGTACAGCAATGAATGACTAGCAAAGTTCTGAAAGGGAGCTAACGTTTCAAAGTTATTAGCATTTCCTGCTATAGTTTGTACATTATCGTTTGAAAAGTATGCCGTGTAGCTATTCTGTTGCGGCTGCTGCTGATGTTGTTGATGCTGTTGATCAAGCTGTGATGATAATGCTTCTTGTATGAATTGTTGATTGATACGGTCGTTTTCTGATTGATTTCCATCCATGATTTTGGATGCCCACTCCTTCAAGGATTGTATTACTCGAATGCTTAGTCTAAACCTGATTTGTAGGTGCTGCTTTTAGGTTGAATATATGTAGATCTTTTTTTATCTGGAAGCTTTCTTTTCTGTGTATGCAATACACATGAGCTGTTACCAATCCTGTAAACTAAAACTAGAATGTAAATGTCTATGGACAGAAACTCTAATCTAAAAGAGCCAGAATTAGTCTTTTGATGCCGAAATGTTTAAAATGAAATGGATATTGAGTACACTGAGAGGAAAAAAAACAAGCAATTCAGTGATTGAATTGATGTAAAGAGGAAAGAAAAGGGAATGAAAAGGAGAAAAAGGACAAGAAATTAAATAGGGCAGTGGAAAAGAGGTTGTGCTACTGAGTGCCTAAAAAAATTACCATTTCAAATGTCGAAAGCCAAATCAAGCAGAAAGTTAAATTGAGAAGCTCTTCAGAAATTGATCCCGTCGTTCGACCCAATATATTCAATCAAAATTAATATAGCTTTCGATTCAAATCGTACATATCTAGATACCAACTGTCCTTTCAAGCTCCCATGTTGTACATGACATTAGACTTTGGACAGCCTGCCATCAAAGCTGTCCTTCTAAACCGTGCTTACAACAAATTTGGCAAGTAAAGAACATTCTTATGCATTCTTCTTCTACTTGGTAGAATAAATCACGTTTTTCTACTACTATACCATGTAGAAAGAGAGTGTATGGCGAGAATACTGAGAAGTGTTTGATACAAGGCATTCCTCTATAAGTAAAATAAGGTTATTGCTATTGTCCATCATGTCATCATCCTACCTTTCCAAATAACACTAAAAAAATATTTAGATTTTTGCATGTAACATATAAACTGCACATTTCCTGGACGCCATACATGTGCAATGTTTTTGGGGCCATGTATACTCACTCTCTGCTGAGTATGTTGGTCGCTTTTTAACACTTTCAGCCATGACTATTACGATACGTTAGCATAGGTATCATATACATCCAAGCATTCTATCATTGCTAGGCAGCATAGCCCCTTACGTTTCTTCCTAAAGTCACCTGGCAGTTTGGATCAGTTACACGGCGGGGTCTAGTACCAAGTTGTTGGGCCTCTCTCCTCTTCAAATGATTGATTTGCTTGTTCAGAATCATGAAGCAATCAAGTATGAGTGGGCTAGTTTTTCATTTGTAGAATTATGTAATGTAAGGCTGATTATTAATGAAATGTAACTTTGTAAAGGCTTAAAGCTTATACCAGGGTAATGTGAAGTTAAAATCAAGATTTGTCCTCCCTTATTTCAATTCGAATTGAGAATATCCATCCCATGATGTTTGTATCTTTGTACATGTTGTCCAATAGCTCATCGTTTGAGTATCTGAACTCTGCATTCAATAAATAAGACATTAGCTTAGCTTGCTGCATGAAATAATATTCAAAAAATGATACACTATTCATCGTTCTGTCACAGTTTCAATACTTCTCGGCACCCGTTTGAACCGTATACCTAAGCTTTCTCAGACGGAGTTACCCTTGTTGCTTCAATTTCTATTATTCATTCATAGAGCTTGAGGCTTATATGATGTGCTTGCCGTTCCAATCTCGAAGGCTCTGCCACTCGGTTTCCTTTGCAGGCATACTGCAAATAGATTTCAGCATGTAGGCTTGATTCGAAGTATTCGCAATGCTGCCGGAAGTACTGCTACAAAAGCTTCTATGAAAGAATTAGCAACGGATGCTGCTATTTAAAGTAATATTTGTATTTTAAGGTTGAGTCGTGTAATACAAGTGAGCCGACAAAAGTAGTTTATATAGCTTATTCTGATTGATTCAATCTCTCAGCTATTCTCTTAAATAATCTTCCTCTGCAAGTGAATCTGACTAACCAGCAACTGCGATGCTTCAACAATCAGTCGTAGCCGATCGATCAGATCGTATCAGATTTATAGAGTACATGCAACCGACCTACAATGTCTGGGCTACCGAAGCTGATTCTAGACTGATCAATGTCTTTGATCGATGCAGCCGTGAGCGTATATAGAGATACCCTTCATTTTTACCGCAAGGTTTTAGACCCATTTGTAGAAGATATTTGAACTAAAGTTTTGCCTCAATTTTTCTTTATATACGAGAAAACTCTTCTACATGTACTCACTTTCTTCAGTTGTGATATGTAATATACTTCTTTTGGTTTACAAGACTGGGCAAAAAAAAAACGAAATCTTGTGAAAACTGGTCCACAGTAATGTTTAAAGAAAAGATACACGAACTAAATCTTATTTTGACGAATGATATAGCAGAAAATAGATGTCATTCTTGCATAAGACCTAAAGTTTTGAACCAAACATTCCTTTCAAAATTTTAAAGAATTATGTGCCGTACAAGGTGAATAAAACCACTGGCGAGGCCGGTATTGAGGAGGTTTGGGTGAGAAGTTTAGCCTCTCCATCAAGAACATAACGCATCTAATTCAACATTTGGCAACATTGGCCTAGGAGAAAGTTTTGCCTTCACTTCGCTGCGGCATAAAACCATGGCAACTAAGCATCTAACCTAACATTTGGTAATATTAATCTTAATGAGAGTTTTACTGTAGTGGAGCGAAGGTGCAAAATCATAGTATTCAAGTAGCAAATTCGGGTTTTCATCTCCATTATTAATAAGCTTATTACTAACATGACGCTTCTAAATTTGCATGAATTAGCTTTACCAAAATCAATATGCCTCCTATTCGATTTGGAAATTGCACAGACTGCAGAGCTGCCCTTCCAGAAGATTTCAGCTACCAAAGATGTGATTCATGCCGTGTAAGTAAAAGCTATAAAGCAAAACATAACCAAACTTGACAGTTTTCAAGCCTTCATATCTTGACATATAGACCTTTCTGAGCCGCTGGAATGACGCCAAACAATTATTCTCATCTGGCGGTTACTTTCTGACACCTTTGCTCACCTTTTTGAAGACCCAAAAAACATGGCCAAAAATCGACCAAAAAGCATGAGGTACCCCTCATGGTTTTTTACGAAAATCAAACGATCGCGTTTTTTACCTTGAAAATAATGACTTTTGCTATGGCATGTATTGAATCAAAACGTTTCTCTTGATCCAAAGCAACCTCTGAAACCACTTTTATGAGGTTTTCATATACAAAATATGGCTATTTTCACTAAAAACCTCATTCCATATTTTACTAAATTGCTCAACAATTTCATTCAAAATGCCTATTACAATTAGCACCATTGGAAGCGCCTCGAAAAGTACTTCAAGAATGTATTAGGAAGCGTAGGGTGATCATTACAATTTATATAATCGAACATTGCAAAATAGATTAAAGAAGTCGAAAAAAGACAAAATCCATCCAATCTTGAACAGTTAAAAACCCCCTGAGTTTGAATTGATTTTGGCGGGCGTCTGTTGCTGGCTGGCCCAAATGCCTTTCCGGTGATGATAATGATGATTGCGATTCTGATTAAATGGGACAATATAGTTTATGAAAGGACAATTAATTAGCTCGAACACTCTTTTTGGGTAGTGTTGCGTCATAAAGGTATCTTTTGCGATGAGAATATCTCAAAAAAGTCGCTGTAGATCTTATACAAGTCCTGTATTTACGCATGGCCAGTTTTATGTCACCATCTCAAGAGCAACATCAGATCCAGTTCTTACGGTTGAATGTAATCAGCAAAAAAAAATTGATAACTGTTGTTGTTGTGCAAACATCATATGATATACACAGCTACAAAGGGAGCATCAAAGGTTGTTCCCAAACAGAGACAAGCTGAAATCTTGCAAAAATGCTCCAAGGTCAACGTATTCAATCCTATAAACAATATCAATATGAATACTACTGGTATAATCGCATTGATCATATTGATATATGCGAGATTGCTCTCAAACGCAACAAATCATTCTCTTTTTTGGGATGCCATGCCAAACCAGTCTTGCAAACAACCCAATCTTAAGGAACACTGGTAAAACAAAGCAGCTGGGTCGAGCTTGCTTCCTCAAGCTTGAAGTCCCTGACTTGGGCTACCCGCTGAAAGTTAACGCCCACTGGCACCAGTTGCTAAACAAGTACATATTATATATCATGCAATATTTGAAGAAAACTCACCCGTTCACATTATATTCGTTATAGATTCATGTCCAATTATGCCCACGTTTGGCGGTGTGTTCATTCCTGTCGGATGGGAGATGAAAAAGGGTAATTACCTATGCTTTGTACGATGGTCAACATGGTACATCTGCTAATAAAGCTACTGCATCATGAAACTATACCTTACAATATCGTGATATAGTATATGGGTTACATCAGATAAGCCTTATAGCTTTTGAGCGACAGATTTAATGAAACACGCTCTGATGTTGGTGCTACATGATAAATCATTATCAAAAGCTCAACATCTTACGACACCTTGATAGAATATACTTGTTGAATGAGCGAGCAATAGACACTACGATAAGAAAATTATAAAATTGTCATATATTAGATGTATATCTGTAAGTTGGCATTGTCTTAATCAAAGTACTCTCGGTTAAGAACTATAAACACTTACATGTTGCTTTCATAAGCTGTAATTCCATGACAGTAAAAACCGTATGACGGCAAATCCTGGGCAAATTGCCTTATATTTGACCGAAATGAGAGTCTTAGCTACTCGCATATACTTATTAACAAGCTCCAGGTATACTTGATATTGAACGAGGAGATGATTGTGGATCAAATGATCCAAATAGCAGTGCATATGATAGGATTTTGATCCAATTAATGAGAAAATCTTTCGGCCTGTTGTATCAAACCATATTATTGTACCACGAAACTGTCAAAGCAGGTAGGATTGGATCTCTTTCCCCAAAACTTTTACCAACTAATAAGATTCTACCGCATGAACGTGTATCCAAACACCATCACAGCCTCCCTTCATTCCATATGACAGCATAAGTAGCAGCTTCTCTAACCTTGTGCCAACTCCCGACAGTCTCTATCAGCAATTCAACAATTGGCCTAGCAACAACCAATTCGATCATCAGGACATCAAGGAAACTGACAGATCCAATCATGCAATGTCTTCATCTGATTTTCTATTACATAATCACAAGAGATCGTCTCTTTCCTTTACTGCCATCAACAACCGCTATCATTACAGGAACGGGTCAATTTAAATCAGGATATTCCTTATTCTTGTTGGTGACCATGGTGGCCATGTTTGGCTCCAACCTGGCTGGTGCGTTGGAGGCATACTTTACGACACAGCATAATTAGGAGCCTTACTTGGCATACAAATTGTTCACTGGCGTTGGGTACATACTAGGCGCACTTATTATAATTGCTTTGAAATGAAAGATCAACCATGGTCATTTGCTCTCGAAGCTGTGAGAGATCCAGGCACATTATTGAATTATTCTCTATTAAAACACCGTTCTTCCATGTCCAATCGACTCCTGCTTTGCAGTGGGCTCTGTTGCCCTCTGTTTATTAATATATTACATTGATTTAGCTCTCTTTTTGTTTCCAACGCTTTCTTTCTGTTTCGTTTCCCTTGTTCACTAACAATTTAGTAATGTCTTCTTCACCACGATTCTGGCAAAAGCTGGGGATAGGAAAGCAGCATAAACCAACATCCTCTTCTACTGTAAATTCAGGTACGAACAATTGAGCTGGATACTACAACAACGAAATTCATGTATCTAGCAGATAACCAAAGCCAGGATGGCGCATTTCTTCATTCTTCAATTTCTTTCTATCATCACCAGCAAATAAACCACACGGATGAAAACCATGAGAACATGAAAATTAACAACAATATGAATAATGGAAAACAAGTGAAACGTTTCAGGTAAATTAGAGTTATCTCCAAGGAAAATTCGCTCCTTAATCAATCCTTGTCCTACAAATATTGCCAAATACAACAGTAGCAATATTTCATTACGACACAGAGCAAGCTCAGCTTCATTGTATCAGTTGCAACAACAACAACAGCAGCCCAGCTCAGAGAAGCAAATAAGGAGAAGTTCCTATACAAAACCATTGAAACGTATAGATCCAGGTAAATAGCTGACTTCATGTGATTTTCAGTAGTACAATTGCAATTGTCAAATAACAAAATCATACAGACAACTCATTCATGCCAATCAATACCAGCTTTAAAGTGAATCAAGATATGGCTGTAGGTATGTTGCTGCCGTTGTCATGCAGTTCAGGCACATTTTGATCCAACATGATATAGAAGCTCAGCACAGCATCCGAAAAATGCCATCTTCCATTGGCACCACATCAAAATTACCGACATCTGGATTACCAACGAGAAAACAATCATGTATCGATATCTCTAATACCGGTAACAATAAAAGCACGCCTCCACCGCCTCCCTCTGCACCTCCTCGCTTAAAGAAAACCAAAAGCAATCAATCTCTCATGTCTACATCTACTACCACGTCTGCTGGAAGCAGGCCCAGTGTGGAGTGCACTAATAAGTCTAATAGTAACAGTAGCAGACTGCGCCAACCCTCTCCTGCTATTTCTCATACTAAACTGCTTGTCAGGAGCGAAAGTAACTCATCGCTCCATCAGCATGTAAATAAGAAAAAAAGCCTCCCAAATATACCTCCTCCGCCACATTCCACAACCAACAGTAGCAGTGGAAACGATGAAGATGATGAAACTAAATCCTTTCTCACAAGAACTTCATCAAATGGAAGCACAGCTACTATTGACAAGCGAAGCAGTAGACGTAAAAGTAGTCTAGTTGAGAAACGAAAGAAATCGACTACAGCAGTAAATGATCAATGCGGAGACAACTTTGTCATGGAGATGCTCAGGGACGAATTAGAACGTGAAAAATCCTCAACAAAAGCACTACAAGGGCAGAAAGATGGTATATTTGCACAGTGCCTAACCCATCTAGAAGTGAAATTAACTAGTCTTTCAGCTATTTCTAAAGATTTGGACTATTTCTGTAACCTGGTGGACGAAGTGACCGAAGAAAAAGATGAATACAAGCGTAAATACGAGGATGAAAAGGTATTTTGGAGCAAGCAAGCGCTGCAGCTTACGCTAAACTCTAAACATGTTGCTTACAGAATCAAAACAAGCAACTGCAAAAGACAATTAGAGACTTGGAATTAAGGTAATCCTGAAACTCCTATAAAGCAAGTATAATCTAAAAATGTATATATGCAACAGGGCTTCTTCATCATCTTCCATGACATCCAGGGATTGTTCAGGAGAAGCTATAGCCCAGTTACAAACTGAATTACAAGTACAGTGTTTAAAAACAAGACAAAAGATGATGCATGAGCTGATATGTTTACATTTACTTGTATACGTGTACATGTTAGAACTTGCAGCAACAAACAACAGAGGAACAGTATGCATATTATAACAATTTGCAGTATAAAAACGAAGAAATCAATGTGCTCAAGACAGAACTGAAGCAAGCTCAGCGGCAGATCCAAGTGCTTCGCAAAACCATGGAACAAATGCTGAGAGCAGAAGGAGGAGGAGATGATTTTGAACCTAGAAAAAGGTAAACAGATTGAGCATTTGTCCAAGTATATGCAAAACATGCACTTACATGAGAATTGTCTAGTTTCATCGTGGCAGAGCCAGCAACAGCAAAAGGAGAACACAAATGCCTGCTGCTACAAACAGGCTATCACCCAGATCACAGTAACTCAACAAGCCCGCCATCGCCGTTGCCATGTTATCATAATGAGCTGCATGATGATGATGTATTGTCCATCTCATCTAAAGACTCGTATCATAGCAACAAGAGCCATCACCAACTGAAATTACAGTACGAGTTTCTAAAGTACGATGATCAGGACCATCATCAACTGTCGTCGCTTGCCAAAAGGAGATCAGAAGATTTTAGCAAGAAGATCGCCATGTCGAGACGACGAAAAGATCAACTAGAAGAGATGCTTGGTGAAGTGGACACTCAATTGAACAGAGTCAAGCAAAAGATCAGACCTTCCCCGTAATAAAATATACAAATAAACACTAAAAATCTTTTATTTATTATTTTTTTATTTTAAATGATTTTTTCTTCCACAACTTCAATCAAATGATGTATGATATAAGAAAATTTAGTAACCGAGAGCAGCAATGGAAGCATTGACATCCTTGAGGGCATCAGCCTTGGACTCAACAGCCTTCTTTTGGATGGCAGCGAGAGCAGACTTGCGTTGGTAGTAAGCAGCAGACTTGGCCTTACGCTTCTCTTCGAGCTTGGCAACAACATCTTGGTACTTCCAGCCAACTTCGTGAGAGATACGACCAATGGTAGTGTACTTACGTCCGGGCTTGAGACGGAGGACACGGAGGGCAGCAGGAATGACCATACGCTTCATACGGTCATAGGGAGCAGGAACACCTTCGAAAAGCTTGATACGATCCAAAGCAGCGGCACCACGAGCAGTCTTGTGGGGGACCATACCACGGATGGCCTTATACAAGATACGAGAGGGAGCACGGAAATGGAAAGGACCACGAGTAGGGTTGACGAGACAACGCTTGTTGAGGTAAGCGTGATACTTCACTATTGATTGCATGGACTGATTAGTCGATCAATTCGAATCAAGTCGATCAATTCGAATCAAGTGTTCCATCACAAACACACACACGCTCTCTCTCTCTCTCTCTTCCCCCCCTTTTTTTTTCAAGCTGAATGACATGCCCACATCACACAGATCATTCTGCCTACTCTCTCATTCTAGTACACACACGCCCACACACATATATATAGAAAGATCTACAACATACACTTGTTACGGAAGAATTCACCAGAAACGTTCAAGGCTTCACATCTGACGACGACAACCTTTTGACCATTGAGGGCTTGCTTGGCGATGATGGAAGCAAGACGTCCGAGCAAATGACCCTTGCCATCAATAATAACGGTCTGTGTAATTTTTCAAATTGATTGATGTGATTTTATATTAGTCTGATTGCATGAATCCATGTACACTTGTGTGTTATATACCTTTTCGAAGGTACTCATAGTTAAAGTTGTATGAAATAAAGAGACAGAGCAAAATTTTACAATTCACAAGTTAATTTCTTGACTAGTAACTAAGCCACTATCCAATTCGACGTTTAAAATTTTTTCTGGGCAGCCTCCCATTCACAAGTTTGCCCATCATGAATCACCATAAATTTATGGATCAATCTAAAGTCACGAGAAAGACATCCTTCATTCATTCATCCTGTCAAATGTGTGCTTTCTTCCTGAATAGAATGTAACTGTACATTATGAGCTCTTGATCTAAATACTTGGAACGAGATCCAGAGGCAACTTTTTTGACATTGAAAGTGCTTTGTCATGTATTGCATTGGATCTGATGTCATGAATGAGTGAGATGGCCACTCTATGTATTATCACAGTGCCTACAATGATATTTGATTACCAAATAGCAATTGAGAATGTGCCATCGAAGAAGTATCTTATGAATGAACACTCTGGATGATCTAAAATATTAGTTTCATGAAGGCATGGCTATATCTTGCCTTAATTTTCAGCAGCTAGCGTCTCACGTTGAGGTACATCAGGGTCTTCAAAACCAGCATATGGCAAGGTCAGGTATTCTCAGAGGATGCTAATATGCATATATACATATACCGTCGTATATTCTCATAAACAAAAGTGGAAGAAATCTCAATTTGATAATTTCTACGAGATTCGTCCGTCAGAGAATACCAAGAGACAAACCCCTTATTAATTTCATCAAATTACATCAGTTGACAGACATTTTTAATAAAAATGTCTGTCTATACTCTCACCAAGAGAATGTTTAATATAAAGGTACGATTATTAATTAATCGCTTAAAGAAGGTAATACGTTATATGTATCTCTCAAGGTTGATTGAAGACTTGCTTAGGACTGTAACTCCAAAGCCTTCTAAATGACTTGAGAAGCCTTTCAAGCACATGGAAAAGGGAGTAAATCAGGAGCAAAGGTTATATTACTGCTCGAATGCAATGCACTCGCCTCGATTAGTACTATTGAGGCAATCCAGAGTGGCAAATATGAAGAGCCCTTAACACTTTACTTGGTATTAAATGCACTTTTATTCTACACAAACATAGCAAGTTAGCATTCCGTCTCATGCTATTTTCTACGTTATGCTCCCTTTTCGATGATCTTTGCTACTGTAAAGTATTAAATGCCTAATTCACCATATCTCTCCCTGTTCCATTCGACTCAAACAGTATAAATAGGGCTTCACATCCACCAATGCCCATGTTCCAGAATTACCTCTCTATATTCATCAACCCATCATCATGTTGACTGTATTTCGTACTCTGTTTGGTGTGCTTCTCTTATTCAATCTGATCTCTGCCTCTTTTATGGTAGAAAGCAGACCTATTGTGGACAAACGTGGTGTAGGTCATGTAGTGGATATTGTAGCAAATTTGTTTCGAGGTACTGGCACGTTTTTCCATCCGGTAACTGAAGGCGGTGCTATTGGATCGTGTGGGCCTATTGAAAATGATCATAGCCGAATCTGTGCCATGAACATAAAGCAGTATGGCCAAGCATCAAAAAAGAGCCCATGGTGCTTTTTACAGCTGCGTGTGAAGCATGGTGGTAAAAGTACGGTGTGCACAGTAACTGACTGTTGCCCTGGTTGCGCAGAAGGTATATATATATATATATATATATATATGTCTATTGAGAGAATACAACAGTACGGCTCATACCATTCAACAACATAGGCTCACTGGATATGACACCTCAAGTCTTCAATGATCTGGCCCATCCCAGTGTTGGCGTTATTCCAATTGAATGGTGCATCCGTGGTTATCGTGGCTGTACCTGATTACAAGCTACATGTAAATTCCGTATTTGTACAATAAATGGTATCTTTATTTCATCCACAAAACGATATGAGGATTTGTATGTTGCGTATAGTTATGTGTGTGTATACTGTATATCATACTAGCAAGTGTCAGGTGTTAACTGAGAATAGGCAAAAACTAAGAGTAGAGATGTTTTAGTCTTTGATTCAGTACAGTGAAGATGAGATAACTTACATTGCCCACAATGACACTTGGTAAATCAAAAATATCTCTCTTGATGGTAAAGCAGAATGTACATGGTACTGGTTTTTGCTGTGGCGTACGCAAAATGCAAGAGTAGCTACAGGCCTTATCTGTATTATCAAATGCGTGTGTACTGAACTTTTCCCAGTATTCTACAGCTGACTGATTTTCCATCAACTACGACTCGTTTAGTACACGCCCGCGTGCTCTACTGTATCCTGTTATGTTACCTCGTAAATATATGTTTTTTTGTTCAGCAGCATGTCTCTTGTCCACTGAGTGAGAAGCGAGAACTCCTTTCCAACCAAACACACCTCACCCGTTCTTCTCCACACAACAGTGGGTGTTCCAGAGAAACTAATCAGCTTTTCGTATTCCAGCAAGGTTCTTTGAATACAGCGCTCCATAAACACCAGGTCCTCCTCTGTCAAATTCATGATCAACGATAGAAACGAAGGTCGAAATAGCGATAATGATTTACTGATTCGCATCAAATCTTCACGCCCCATACGATCCGTCACATATTGAATCAGGTAATGAAATCCCTCTGCGTAATTGAATGGTCTTTTCACACTATTGTACACAGCCTCGGGTGTGTTGCCACAATTGCCCTTTCGCCTCGATGTTGATTTGGTACTGGCAGCAGAAGACGTGCTATCTCTTTTCATGGGTGCAGTAGGTGGAGATGAGAACTGCTGTGGTTGAGGCTGTGGTCTACGCATGGGCGATTGGAACTGCACTTGCTGCTGCTGTTGTAGTTGATGCTGGTGGTGAGGAAGAGGGCTTGTAGGCGATGAAGTGAATGGAAATAATGCTGAGAGTGCTTGAAATGTACTAGGAGAAGATGCTGCGGTAGTGGCTGTAGTATTAGTAGTAGGTGTGGTTGCGGATGTCGTCAATGTCTTTTCATTCATTTGAACCGTAGTCGGTGTGGTCACAGTTGTGGTAGTCGTAGTAGAAGACGAAGGAGGGCCATCCACCAGCATGTTGCCCAGTATACCGTATTCCAGCCCAGTTGTCTCTGATCCAAATCCAAAATCAGTCAATGAGAAGTTGAATAACTGCGATGTATCTATGAAGCTGGTATTGTTGTTGCCTACATGTATATATCACATATGAACATTAGTAGTGGAGTGGGAGCGATCCAGAATGTAGACAACATACCATCGGCAGGCGTAAATGGCACATTGGCATTAGGTGAGTACAGCTCCTCGTTGCTGTCCATGGCATTCGTAGCAGGCGTATTCAGTTTCATCTTTTTGCGGTTGTTGTCTGAACATGTAGTTGCTAAATCACGTTTTATACATCCTTGACAAGGTCGGCCTTTCGTACAAAATAAGAAACGTGAGAAATACAGCTTTCATGTTACAATTTCATGTATAAACGCATTTACCTCCATCACAACTAAGATGAGCCTACGGATAAAGGTTAGTGTGGCTCATGCAAATAGCAGCCTTTGTAGAGCTTACCTTTTGGCAGTGCGTGCATGATTGAACTAGATTTTTTCTCTTTTCAATTTCGATTGTGGGATGAAAAGCGAAATAGTTTTGGTAGGCAATTAAATCAGGTCCACCCACATTCGATGTTGCTGCTGCTGCTGATGCTGTTGTGGATGATGAAGACGACGATACTCCTTGAGACATGATGTGCAAAATCAGTAAGCAAATGTGCTTGTAAAGAGTGATTAAAAAGAGAGAGAGAGAGAGAGAAAGAGAAAGAGAAAGAGAAAGAAAGAAAGAAAGGTATACAAAAAAAAAAAAAAAAAAAGTTTGTTTATTATTGTTTTCATGTCGTGTGTGGGGAGAATCTGGCACCTGACCTTTTTTACCATACACTTTTTTTGCTTGCCCTTTGTGCGACAATGCTCGAATTATTTGATTTAGTATTCACTTCAACTTGTAGCATTCAACTTGCCCAATTCAGTTCAATTCAGTGCGCTACAGTAGTGCGGTTTGGCTCAGATGTTGCTCTTTTCCAGTCTGATCGACCTTCATCAAAATGAACCCCTCGAAATCCCCACTTTTTTCCCTAATGAATGTGTTCCAATTGGAGTACAGAGATGTGCGTTTAAATTAGGGATGTTTGTTCAACCAATCAAGAACGTTGTCAATCAGGTTTTCTCTCACAAATGCTACTCGAAAAAATGCAGCTCTCCTACCAGATGATGGCAGTGAGGTCGATGGAATCGCTTCTCCTGCTCTTTAAATAGATATTGGGATCTAGGCAGGCCAGTCCAAATGACATGGCTCCGTCTGCAGTAGGTATGGTCTCGGAAGCACGGCGTTACTCGGTGCAAATGTTGACGCTGATCAGACATGCATGAGGTGGCGCTTTTTTCTCATGTCTTACAATCAAGGTGGTAAGGCTCAAGGGGATTGCCAGGTCTCAAGTACTGCTTGTGAACAGAAGGCACCAAAGATCTGAATCTCTCACACTGTCTATTCTAGCTAGAAATGAGGTATTGCACTTGGATCCATGACATGTGAGTGTATTTCAGCATAAAGCAAGTAGAATTTATCTCTGACTCGTATCTAGTTCAATTCAATGTCTCATGCCTTGCTGATTACATTGAAAGCAAGCAGTGTTTCGTTATGTAGATGGCATGACAAATCAAGGTACCAAACTACACTTCAAAAGGCGAATCTAATGTGACTCTTGGGATACTTATCTCTGCTTGAAAAAAAGATCATCTAAATTGATCAACATCTCTGCGCTTCTTTCTCATTTGTCAACAAAATCACAGCAAGAAATGTCAAACGGTATGTCCTGGACGTTTCACCATAAAACCATACTGATCTTTATGCCAACAGATCGCCAGGCAGCAGCTAATCCAGAGCTCACAGACAAATCCTTGAAAAATAAATTTCGAGGTTTCGCCGCAGGAATGGCGTCTGGCATTACAAAATTAGCAGTGGGCCATCCATTCGGTATGTAGCATATATCCACGCAACAGTGCACGAGTACTGAACTATATACAGACACTGTCAAGATTCGTATGCAGACGACAAGCAAATCAGATGGCAAATTCAAAGGCCCATTGGATTGCTTTCTCAAGACAATCCGACAAGAAGGCCCAAGAGCTTTGTACAAAGGTGCTACTCCACCACTTGTCGGCTGGATGTTCATGGACAGTATCATGTAAGTGTTGTGCTGGATGTTGGCGCCGTATCCGAGATTGAACCTTAGTGTCTGGAAGGCTGGGCACGTTGCATAATGCTCGAATGATCCAACAACAGTGGAATGGAGATAAGCCTCTCAGCATATTTCAGCATGGTTTGGCAGGTTTGGCAGGAGGCATTACAGTGTCCTTTGTCGCAACGCCAGTGGAACAAATCAAAGCAAGATTACAAGTGCAATACGACGCTAAATCGAAGACTTATTCAGGTCCCATTGATTGCATCCGGAAAGTGGTAATTTCATTTCCAAGGTGTACATGTATCAATCCAATGTGCCTGACTGTATCCCTTATTAGGTGCGAAATAACGGTATATTTGGGCTGTGGCAAGGCTTGACACCTACTATGCTATTCCGTAGTTGGTTTTTCGTCTTCTGGAGCTCGTATGAAGTCTTTACAACACAACTCAAAAAGACGAGTTTAACAGACGGCAGTATTACCTTTATTGCAGGCGGTCTTAGTGCCACTGCATTTTGGATAGGCGCGTTTCCATCAGGTAATCCATGGTTGGTCATATACACAGACAGCATACTGAATGAGTCATTTACAATACAGACATGGTCAAGAATCGCTACATGACGCAACCAGATGTATCTCCTAAAAAGTTCCCCACGCCAACCTCCGTTGCACGTTATGTATACCAAACAGAAGGCCTCAAGGGCTTTTACAGAGGCTTCGTGCCTTCATTTTTGCGTGCATTCCCTACCAATGCCTCTGCTGTATTCATGTTTGAGCTCGTCATGAAGCTGCTAAGCACCAACAAATTAGAAAATGAGCCTCTTTAGACATAAAACGTTGATTGTATTTATTAATTAACCATGTTCATTTGATTGCATCCCTTATTTCTTCAATCTCTTGCTTAAATCCTTGAGGATCTCATTCATGCTCTCCAAATGATGCAATACGGATCGCTGGTACTGACGCTGTTCTTCAACGTAGGCTTGATCGAACTGAATGTAGTTGAAGACAGGAGGAGGAACGGGTGCAGCAATGTATTGAGGAGGAGGTCCAGGCATTGCGGGCGTGATACCGCGGCTAGCGATTTCAACAGGTTTTTCACCTGCCAATCTTTGAATGATCAATCGCTTCATACGCTTTCTTTCCTTCTTGGATTCTTGCTGAATGAGCTTATCGGCCTTTTCACCCTCATGCTTGTTTCGCTATAAACGCAAAAGATGTAAGTAGATGGCTACATATTACTAGGCAAATTTTTAAATTACCTTTGTCAAGGCCGCAATAGCCGCCTTTTGGATACTTTCTTCCTCCATGTATCTTTCCGAAATTCTGTCTACAGCACGTCTGCAGGCATCATAACGAAGTGGCGTGTCATTGGGCGCAACAGCATTGACAGCATCCACAATTCTTTGCCATGCTTCAGTGCTCTTACCCCAGGGAGCTCCAGGTGGAAAGTGTTCAGCATACTTTTGCAAGAGGACAATTTGCTTTTCAGGCGTCCATGAACCACGATTCTTCTTGGATTCTTCAGCATCATCACCATGGTTATTTTTGTTGCCGTCGTTTTCACTTTCGTTGTCGTTGTTGTCCTGGTTACCAGCAGAAGTATCACTTTCATTATCTTCCACGGCTATGGTTTGAGTCGCGTCGGATACTGGGAATTCTTCTTCTTGCGACGTAGAAGCGGACGTGGATGGAGCGGCAGACTCTGCTTCAGGTGTGCTAGCCTTCTTTGCCTCAGCTGGCGTTTGAGTTTGTCTGCGAGGACGGTAAGGTCTGATTTGGAGTGTCTCTCTTGATTTACCCTTTCTTCTTGGAGCCATTTTAATGATAAGGAAAATTGATGAAAAGACTTAATAGGAGGGGGAGTTTGGTTTTCGACTTGTTTTGAACACGCAATAGTCGAATTAGCCGTGTCACAATTGCAAAAATCTTCATGTGAGCCACTCATCGTTCAATATTTACGTGGGGATCAAGGAGCCCCCCTCCTTTTTAGATGGGTTGATTTTTTATAGGTCGATGCCCCAGCCGTAAAAGCGAAAGTACAAACAATTGGCGAGAGTTGTATTTCAACCAGTGTGCATAGGCAATGAGGGTCTTTCTGATGTGGGCATATAAATGACAGTGCACTCTAATGGCTTTTGATTTGCAATTGGGCGCTATAGCAACAAAAAGTTCGCTTGTGATCATGAAATATGTTTCGCAGTTGACCAGTACGTGATGTAATAGTGATAGTAGGGTGGGTGTGATACACAATTGCTTGAATACATGGCTTGCTCTGAATATGATCCATAAGCAAAAATGCATCATAGCCCCTTCATTCAATGGCAAGCATCATATTCGTTGGTCTTTTGAGTCTTGTTGGCTGAAGGTGGAGCATCCTAATTAGTCTACTAACAAGGCATTAGCAACCGTTCATTGGCATTCAGATTGCATGAAGGCTCATCTTTGGGAAAGATCTTTGTGTAGGACCCAGCCTCTGCAATTTCGCAGATCCTCTCTTGATAGGCTCCGTTTATAGTTATATGAATAAAGAAGCAGCGCCTGGCTGTGAACCTGACCTTTCTAGGATGCTACCGGCTTGTATCAATGGGAAAAAATCATATACAGATAGACTACATACTCGGAATACCTCTTGCTATGCAAAAGCATGCAAAATATAGCAAAATTTAAAAGTATTTGAGCCGTGATTTCTTGTGTTAGAAGCCGTTTTAGACTACCAGAATAGCACCAAACAATTGCTCCCATCTAACATTCACTTTCTGACACCTTCGCTCAACTTTCTTGATCCCTAAAAAAAAAACATGGCCAAAAATCGACCTCAAACCATGATGGATACCTCATGAGAAATATCAAAAATCAAACAATCACGTTTTTGACCCCAAAAATGAAGACTTCTACTATGGTATATATTAATTCAAACCACTTCTCTCGATTCAAAGCAGCCTCTGAAGCCATCTTTATGAGATTTATATATATACAGTCTTGATATATTCGCCGAAAGCATCATTTCTTATTTTCCAAGATTACTCAATAAGCTTGCTCAAAGCAATTACTTTCTATGGTACCATAGGATGCGCCTTGAAAAGTACTCCAAAGATGTATTAGAAAGTATGGGATGATTATGACGACTTGTATAGTCCAATTATCCAAAATATGCGAATCAATTTAATTTTGAACGAAATCTGACCAATCTGGAGGAAAAAAAAAAAAAAAAAAAAAAAAAAAAAAAACCACAAATCGAGGTTTTAATTAATTTTGGCGGTAGGCAGTATCATCAGTGCTATGCTCATAGCAAGGTTCCACATCTCGAGTATGAGCATTGGCTCTTTGAATGCTAGCTTTATATGTCTAGAATTCTATTCAGCATAGTCCACATACTTTGAACTGGCCGAGACATGAAGCTATTTCGACACTGTATCTGGGTATCACAGTCATGATCTGCAAAGAAAAATTGGCTTTCAAGGCATAAACAAAGGCTGTAATTACTACAAGGAACATCCCAGTACCTCAAAAGCTACGCATTTACCTACGACTATTGTAAATGATTCTTTTGGAAAGACTTATATCGCTGTGAATCTAGAAACTCATAGTTTATTGAAGGGCAAATCTGAAGATGGAGATCTACACCTTGATTGGTTCACAAAGAGAGGACAAAAGCGTACAATCTTTTTGCCCTATTTTTTGGGTTTTCTTTCTTCTCACAACAACAACAACAACAACAACAACAACAACAACAACATGACCATACCATCAGCAGCACCGTTTTTCACCTCCAATGAAACCAGTAGCTGGCTGCTCTACATTTTGACCGATTCTGCTTTACCAACAGGTGGCTTTGTTGCATCTTCAGGCCTTGAAGCGAGTTGGCAAGCAGGACTCATCGATAATGAAAATCTGGCAGCCTGGGTCACCACCTCAGCACACAATTACGCTTCCAACACCAATTGCTTTGTGAGAGCTGGCTATGAAGCACCTGACCATGAAGATCCACTGGCCTATTTGATTGAATCCGACAATATATGCGATGCAGTGATGGCAGCCAACACAGTAGCTCGAAGAGCATCCTTAGCACAAGGCATCGCCATGCTAACTCTATATCTAAAGTGCTTTACAGATAGCCCTGAACATATCACAGAGAAGGAGCATCAGCGAAACATGGAGGTTGTTAAAAAGTGGAAAAGTATGATTCGAGGCGAGAAGATCGATGGCCATTTTGCCATTTGTTACGGACTCATTTGTCGATACCTCAAAGTGGATCTCGACAACACGCTTCACTTGTGGCTCTACCTCTTTACTCGTACTATTTATTCCAGTGCGGTTCGATTGAACGTGGTGGGACCTTACGAAGCACAGAAATTACTATTGCAATCTAGAAAACCCATTGAAGTGATCATCAAGGAGACCAAAGATATAGGTATTGAGGATTGCTGTCAGACAAATCCACTTTTAGATGTATGTCAAGGCATGCATGATAGACTTTATTCTAGATTATTCAACAGTTAAATAAATGAAGAGGGATGTGATGGGGGGGGGGATATCTTAAACTCTACAATTAGTAAATGCCATGACCAAGATATCGGTAGCACCGACTTCTGACAAGCGATCCATAATATCACCCTTTTGCTTCTTTTCAATCATGGCGGATACAGCAACCCAGCCCTCATGAGAATCCAATGATGAGACAGTAGGCCCTTGACGGCCAGGAGTCATTTGAACAGCACGAGCCAAGTTGTTGCGCTCGACATTGTAAGTACAAAGCACATACTTGCTGGCAGTGATGACACCGCGAATGCGAGAGGTGATTCTATCGATGAGTTCCTGGTGCTTGGAGTTTTTGTTGGACATAAGAACAGATTGAGTCTCCAATAATGTATGAATATCGTGAAGACCAGCTGCACGCATCGTTTCACCAGATTCGACAAGATCAACTAGTTGACATGTTAGACAACCGACAAATGATGTCCCCCCATCCTTAACTTACTGATACCATCAGCGAGGCCCAGGGCGCAAGCTGCTTCTACAGATCCAGAGACATAGTTGATAGTTGTCTTTGTGCCCTTGGCAGCGTCGATGGGCTCAAATACCTTTCTAGCAAAGGCATCAAAGCTAGTGACGATACGCTTACCAGCCAATTGTTCAATTTCCTTGAAATCACCCTTGACAGGCACCTGCACACACAGACGACATTTACCGAAACCGAGTTCCATAATCTCAGTGACCTTGTCTTGTACTTCGTTTTCAACAATCATGTCCTGTCCAGAGATACCTAAATCAACGTTGCCCTCAGCGACGTACTTGGGGATGTCTGCAGCAGGCAAGAAAATAAGAGCCATGGGCAAGTTGGTGCTCAGAGCAATGTCTTGACGAGAACGACGGTTGAAGTGGATGTCAGATCCTGATAAGAGTTGCATACATTGCTCGTAAAGGCGGCCCTTCTTGGGAACAGCAAATAAGAGTCGATTGTCGAGATCCTTGACGAAATCCATGGTGTTTGTGATGAGAGTTGGAAGAAAAAGACTTTTTTTTTTTTTTTTTGGTTGCTTCTACCATTATGACTAAATAGTTGGTTTTACTTGTCAAGCAACGTCACAGAGAAAGGTATAAAGAAGATCCTATGGATACCAGTTCTCATCAAATGCCTGCCACGAAGAGCAGTGTAACTGTAGTGAGCCACTAGTCAATGTTGTTGAATCAGTAGTGTGGCATGCTTTGATTATTTGTTAGAGCATAAAACTTGGAAAGCAGACACTCAAATGCTTTTTGACGGTGTCAAATGTCAGACCGGAAATGACCTTCTGATGAATCCAATGGATGATTTGGTCTTGCTTGGAGCATGTTGAAAAGGGCCAGTTTCCTGCTTAAGGCCTCTTATCACTCACATGCCTTGAATTTGTGTATTTGAAGGCAAAGCAACTCTTTTTCATTTTCTGACTCATATTGAATCACATACGCTTATCGGGAGTTGATCTCCAGATGCTTGAAAGTCGCTCAGTTTGCACAGCCATTCAGATTCCATGTTAAAGGCATGAGCAACAGTGTGTATTTTATTATATACGAGCCTTTGGCTAACATCGCAGAATCTATATGGTTAAAATGTTATAAGAATCTTGGTTGTTGATTGATATAAAATCACCAAATAGATGAAAGTTTATGCTTTGGATGGTTCTTTACTTTTGCTTCGCTCCGGTGAAAATCAACCTGCAGAGCGGCAGCTCGCGCTACCGATTGCCCTTGCGTATCTTATTATAATACTACTATATTCATGTTGACCCTCTACTTACACATGAAAACCCTTTCTATTATCTGTGGATCTGATTCTTATGTGATGCTCTACATCCATATACACGTAGCTATTTCATATACGGACAAATATCATACAGATATTATCCCTTTTTAGTCAAGAATGTATCTAATACAGCAAAATCTGAGTGCATTTGAGCAGCGTTTTCTCGCGCTCAAGGCCCTTTTAGATCGTCTGAATAGCACCAAGTAATTGTTCTCATCTAGGAGTTACTTCCTGACATCTTTGCTCAACTTTTTGGGGACCAAAAAAACATGGACAAAATTCGACCAAAAAGCATGAGGTACCCCTCATGGTTTTCATCGAAAATCTAACGATCGCGTTTTTCATCTTGAAAACGAAGACTTTTACTATGGTATATCTTGAATCAAAATGTTTCTATCGATCTAACGTAGCCCTTGAAATCATCTCTGTGGAACTTTGAAATGTAAAATTTCGACTTTTTGGCCAGAAACCTCTTCTCATATTTTCATAAATTGCTCAATAAGTTTATTCAAAACATCTGCCTTACTTAGTACCATTGGATGCGCCTTGAAAAGTGCTCCAAGAAAGCTTAAAGAAGCAAAGGGTGATCATCATATTTTATATAGTCGAATCTGGCAAAATAGTTCAATCGAGTCGAAAACCATCCAAATTTGGCCAATCCGGAACAGACCCTGAGTCTGGATTTTAACTAATTTTGGCTGGTGGGGCTGGCAGGCAAACTCAATGCCCTTTCATAAGGCAATACAGTAATAAATGCTTTTGAAGCGTATGGAAAGTAGGTGGCAAATCATAACACTATTGTTTATTATGCTATTTTCTTGCATTCTATATTTAATAACGTTAGTCTGGACATTGACGATTATGGTCTGCACAGCATGTCTGCAGTAAATAGGGAAATCTCTGAGGCTTCGGGTCGTCGTTCAAAGAAAACGTTGACAGCATTGAGCAGAGGAAAGAGGGTAGAAATAACAGTAGTTTTTATTGATTGATTGTAAAATCATTAATCATATATGAGCCAAGTCTGACAGATGCCTGGACACTCAGTTTCCATATTATTAAGGTTGTAAAAGTGCCTAGGGACTGTATAATATGATCTTTTTTTTTTTTTTTTTATTATATTGCGAGCATGTTGATAAACAAAAAAAAAAAAAAAAAAGACAAAAGAGAGTGCCTGATATGAATGAAAAAGAGGTAAAGCCTATTTTACTATTTTCAACCAAAAGCAGGTACAGATCTAATAACAGAGATTAAGCCTCCCTTTTTCTGTCTCACTGAGATCATGATTCCACTTACTTGTTAGATTGTGCAGGACTTCCCACTGCGGAGCTAGCAGCACCAGGACTCGCGAGGGCATTGCTGACTAAACTGTTGGGGCTGACCATGGTATTAAGGCTATTGGGAAGCATGCCATTGGGTGTGGCTCCAAGGGAAGCTTGACTACTAGCAGGTTGAGTGGATTCCTTGATAGCCAACAGTTGCTTTGCACGGAATGCCTCATAGTGGATCTGTGCAGTTGTCTCAATCAAGTCTTGGAGGTGAGTGCGAGTCAAGAAGTTGCGGAGATAAATGAATTCACAATGCTCTTCATTTTCGACTAGATATCCACACGAAAATCAGATTTACAATGCCATAAACAACCTGTCATCCACTTACCGTTGATCACGCCGTATCTGTTCTTTCTGCCTCTGACTGGTTTACCATCAATAACAACATTGCGCTCCGAACCGACGATAGCAAAGGGCAAGAGTTCCTATCCAAACGTATCAATGGCTCCATGCTGTGCTCAGGTTATCGCCAATGAACTTACTCTAATGCTCTCGTTCAAGGCTTGTTCTTGCTCATCATCCTCATCGCTTTCATAAGGGTATAATTTGATGTTGTGGAATACGAGTTCTGCCTTGATCTACAAAGGGAGTGCATTTTTAGGGGATTTTTTTTTCCAAACGAGAAATGTGAGTTTATATTTACTCTTTGCTTGAATGCAGCACGCTCATCAATGGTAAGTGAATCAGACTTGGCAATCACAGGTACGACATTGACAACTTCAGAGAGCTTCTTGAGGACGACAATATCAATAGGCTTCAACCTAAACAGAAGAAAACAAATAAGCAATCATGACAACATACACATGCGAAGGCTCCTATATTTACGCATGTCCTGTGGGGCCAATAAAGAACAAACAGCAGTGGACTCTGGTATCTTGGATGTAGCGATCACGGGTAGCAGTTAACTCTTTGCGCAAGTAGGCTGAATGTTGGTCTTTGATGTATTTGATAATGGGCTCCCAGCTAACACGCAATGCAAGTTTAGCACGACTTGGTCTCAACTTGCTATACGAGTGATCTTACCAGTTTTCGTTATTGACCTGATCTCCGTAACCAGGGGTATCAACAATATTGAGTCTGAGACGCACTCCGTTCTCCTCAATCACTGCAGCATTTTTAGTTGTAATTAGAAATCAAAAATTAGGAGAGAAGTCAAGGGATAGTTACAGTGGGATACAGTTTGGATTTCGGTAGTCTGTCTTGGCGGTTCATCAGCAGAGAGGCGAGCCTTGCTTTCAATCAAGTGAGAAGCAAAGATGGTGTTGACCAAGGTGGATTTACCCAAACCAGATTGGCCTGTAAAAGAGGTGATTTAGCATGAATTCCAGTGCTACTATAGCGTCAATTGTACCTACCCACTACCATGACATTAAAGTGGAATCCTCTTTTCAGCAGCTTCTTTTCAATTTGCTGCGTGATGGTATCAAACCCAACATAGCCTTCCAAGGCAGTTTGAAGTGAAGACTATATAACAGACTTTATATTAGCATTTGCGCACACGTATAACACTGGCTAAGCATTGATGGGATCAGTTACCGCAACAGGTTCAACAGTTAATGACGAAGATGACATGATGGATTCTTGTTTGTCAAAAAAGAGCAACAAGAAAGAAAGAGAGCAGAAAGCAAACAAAAAGCAAGAAAAGAGATGGGATACAGGAATCAAGGAGATAAAGAAAAGAGGGGCACAAGGGAGTAAAGAAAGGGGCGATGATTTATTTGGAATGTGTATATCATCAATACGGCTGTAACTCGTTTTCTGCAGTCAGGACACTTCTATCCAAGCTGCCATCTTGACAACTGCCTGGCTTCCGTTCGACATGTTTATTGATCCCATCCATTATGCTAGCAGTTCCTAATGCTAAACAACAGAGTCACGAGCATTTGATTATACCTCTGTTACAAACCTAGTAGAAAACAATTTTCTCTGTTTTACTGGATCCAAACAACACCATGGTAGCCAACACAGAGAATATTAGACGCCTCCATTCATACTTGAACTTCAAGTCGCGTATCAAAATCACCGATGGCAGAACATTCATTGGCACCTTTGTATGTATTGATAAGGAAAAGAACATTATTTTGGCTCATACAGAAGAATTTCGAGGAGGTACGTTTGGTTCATGTACAGATCGTTCCAATGCTGATGGCATACCATAGCTGAGAAACGACTTGTTGGCCTCATCATGATTCCTGGAAAGCACATTGTAAAGATTGAAACTGAAGATTTGGATGTCTCCAGCCACTCCAACAGCAGCAATGTGGATTCGCCCATGTACACCTAATGCAATCCTACACACACTGTATATATATATATATACCCTAAGCTCTACACTGCATGCCGCTCTAGACCTTATACTGAATAAAACGAACATGTACCAGGAAATTCAAGTACAGTGTGATCGACATGGATGTGTTTATTTGAAATAGTAGATGGCATAGATATTTGTAGTAGTTGTATCAAGTTTGCTCTGCTGATAGATGTTTCCAAGGATCTTGTGTCATGCTTGGTAGATAGAACGCTGCGAAACGGTGTTCAATTGCCTCTGGTGTGTAATCGACATCCGGATGATAGGCAGGCTGTCTAGGCGTATGTTGATGGAAACCTCCTCTGCCTCTGCCTCTACCTCCACCTCGACCTCGACCTCCACTGCCTCTTGATCCGCCTCTGAATCCGCCTCTGAATCCGCCTCTGAATCCGCCTCTGAATCCGCCTCTGAATCCGCCTCCGCGCCCTCCTCTTGACTGATATGATTGTTGTGGTGCTTGCGACATGGATGGAGAAGAACAAGGTACAATTCATTTTGAAATTGAAAGTATGGTTTACTCGCCTTCTCCTAAGCAACAAGCCACTTGGTGGTGGCTGCAATTGAATTCTGCATAATGATCAAGGATACCAAATGCCATCTTGCTCTATTTTAAAAGGACAACCAAACTACCAATTGTGCAGTATGATGCACTGGTCTATCATATAACAAGAGTAAAAGACACAGCAAGCATGCCGTCCAGAGCAATGCATGTACATGCTTTACCATATACCAAAAATTACATCATGTGTCAAACCAGCCAAAACTCAATTTATCAAACAACAACGTGCTCCCAACATCGCTGGACAATGAGCTGAGCTCTGTCTCTGTCTCTTCAGGATGATTTTTCCAATACGGTTATGTTTTTACCGAGAAACCCAAAAAATTAATAATAGAAACAGACTAAAAATATCCCTCGCGGCTATTGTGTTCTTTCCTTTCGACCTTTACCTCTTTTTATCTAAGCAACAGTATGGGTAGAAGCGTAGAAGAAGCTTACAACAAATGGAGATCTAAGTAAGCAATTGAGCACAGCATCCATTCATGCGCATGTTAATGGATGACATAGATATTTGCGTGCGTACGGGGACGGTTTCTATGTCTACTACAAGGAACCGAGTGAAGGATGCCCAGAAATGACATGCTCAGAAGCACATGGTAAGCACACCTATAGAGGTCGATAAAGAACGTCTATTTATATCTCATGTAGGCTACGGCATGTTGATTGCCGTGCTCAAGCGCAATCAGCAGGACTTTGATGGATTATACAGATATTTCCTGCAATGGAAAAATTCAAAAGGATTGATGCAATGGCAACAAAAGAGCACAAAGACTGGATCATTCGTGCCAGGCGATCAAGGAGGACAGAACTGTGCAACAGACGGTGATGTGGATGTGGCCACTGCTTTATTTATTGCTGGTAAAGTCTGGGGAAGAGGTGGTGCTCAAGGAGAATACGATTATCACGCTGCTGGCTGTGCACTGGCCGCCTCTATTTGGCAGTACTGCTTTAATCATGATACGTTTATGCCTTTGGTGGGCGATTGGGCTGATCCAGGAGATGAAGCTTATGCTTTGACAAGACCCAGTGATTTCATTCTGAGCGGGTATTTGATGTTTTACCATGTAAGTCTTTAAGGGATGAATTCACCATATACTTGCACACTCACTCATTATCAGTGCGATCAAGAAAGGCAACAGACTTGGGGAAATGTCATCCATACCATTATCAATACATGCCAAGCACAATTGGCTTTAAACCCGCAAACAGGCTTGATTGCTGATTTCTTGACCTTGGATCCAAGAACAAAGACATACAATCCAGTGCATAAAGAAGTCTTGGAGAGTAAGCATGACCCCGATTACAACTGGAACTCGTGTCGTGTGCCTTGGCGGTTGGGACATTATTACATGCTTTCAAAAGACGAGCGACTGTTACCATTACTACAGACAGAGGGGCAATTCTTTGCTAACCAACTGGCTAAAGATGGCGACGAGTGCCCTATCAGAGCTGGCTACAAGTTGAATGGAAAGTGTATCGCCGATTATAGCGATCTTGCATTCAGTGCGCCTGTCAGTTTCTTGTTCTGGGTGCTTGGTTGGCAGCAGCAACTGCATCAATTAATGCGGTATATTGATGAGGATGATGAGTGCACGTATTTTGGAGAAACAATTGCCATGCTAGGATTTTTGCAAGCGCAGGTACCGTACTAATAAATTCCTCTCCAACATCAAAGTGACCTGATGCATGCTTTGCGCTACATACGTACAAATGTACTCTATGAATCGACCCCCCCCTTTTTTTTTGTAAGGCTCTGATAAACCTTATACATTAAGAAACAACCCCTACTTTTCCGATACATCTTATTTTTAGACAGTGAACGCAATAAAGATATCTTTTTTGTTTCTCCCTGATTCAGCAAGCTTTCTTTATCCAATGTATAGTATAATATATTATATCGCATTTCTTTTGACTGTGATCACAGTTGCTATGACGGATGAAGCAACGACAAATGTGCTTGTTACCATTACCAACCCAAAGGCAAATCAAATACTTATTCCAAGCCAACAGCTTATTTTCCAATATACCGTCAATGGTGCATCTTCAAGTAAGAGAAAAACATGATATTCGGTGTTTGAGGTACTCATATAGTGTATCAGATGGAACCAGTCGCCCTAATCCTGCTCCCAACTATCCATCCTCTCTCGACGTCTATTTCAAATGGACACAGAACAGCCAAAATATTCAACTTAAAGCTGCTAGTGGTTTGGCAACCGATGTGGTGGCAGGTGGAAGTAGTAAACTATACAACCACCGCTGGAAGCTCCCTAATTGCCGTTTCTTCAGACGCTACATGCCATCTGAATGGTCGTATAGTTTAGTATTTGATCCACAATACCCGGATCCAGCAGCCAATAACATGTCTAAACCGGTGCACACTCCTCTTGTACCTTTAGGCCCTAAACAATCCCAGATCACTATCCCAATTTCTATCCTGTTCAATGCAACAGCCATGGCAGATTCCCATCATAAAGGATGTTAGGTTTTTAATAATTCAAATAAACCATTATTTCTCAAAGTATCTATTAGCATCAATGTAAGAATCCAACCCACCTACATCAATACGGCCAGAGATGGGATATGTGGAGATGGTGTAGCGAGGGTAGAGATAGGCGAGGCACTTGCCAGTGGCATCATACGCTTCCTTGGGAGCATTAGATTCTCTGCATGCTGTGATAAACTCGTCAATGATTGGCAGCGACTCTTTGCGAAATAGGTAAAAGCAAGGGCAGGCAGATCGAGCATTAGTTGCAGTAGGTTCAGGTTTCTCGAGAAAACTTGTGATGGCGCCCTGTTGATCTGTCTCGACGATGCCAAATTTATGTACATCTTGATCGGTCACTTGATAGGTTGTCACTAAGCAACTGGATGGAAGCTCACTGAATGTCTTGAGGAACTGAGCCAAATCAAAATCATGCAAAAACAAGGTATCTCCACCTACAACCAGCACATCCTGTTGCATCAAGTCAAATGCTTTAATACCAAACATGATGTCAGGAACAGCACCGAGACGGGTTTCATTGGTAGTTGTGCCATCGCTGACAATATGCTCTGGTGGAATCGCATGCAAGGAAGCCCATTGCTTGAAGGCATCGCAACATTGTCCATTGGTTACAACATAGATGTCCTCTTGTGCTGATATATGGTGCGATTCAAACAGCTCTATCCAGTGTGTAATCAGTGCATCTTTGTCGCCCAGTGGCAAAAGTGCTTTGGGCACGCCCAGCAAGTGATTGTATTCTAATGAGGCCCTCAAATCTCTTTGCAGACGCGTGCCGTAACCAGCTCCGAGAATCAATACTAATACGAGATGTTAATGCTTGCCCACAGAGCGAGATGTGCGTATGTTTTACCTTTGACCATGATTTAAATGTGTGAAAAACTGGGAAGAAGACTGAAAAATGGGGGGTTTTTTTTTAGTAACATTACACTGCAACCAGTGCTAAATGGCGCTTTCTGAAATCAATGTGCGCCTTTGAGCATCTCAATCCGCGCATACATTAGAATGGCAAAATGCGCATATTGACAGGCTCAAAAGTGTTACTACGTGAATGATGGCAAAGCATGGCTTGTTTGAGCTTGTTAAATTCCAGAGCGGATTTCGGTATATCTGATACTAGCCAATCTATCTCGCCATACTCGATGTCGGCGTCGCCCTGCGGGCTCTCGCAAAAGACATTTAAATCAGATATATCAAAGTTTTGGTATATCAAGTAGATTTTAAACAATCAATTGTTAGTAAAAAAAAGTTTATCTCCCTTAGCACCATTTCTGCTTACACTGATATCAAGCGAAGCCTATCATCGAGATGATGTGAAAGAAAGCTCAAGTTTCATGCAGCATTTGTACACCACAACCTCCATTTTCTGATAGTAGAATTGTCATACCATTTGCTGCTGCTGCTGCTCTTAATAAGATGGGGAGAGGGGTTTGGGTGAAGAACGTAACGCGTCTAACTCAACACTTGGTAATATTGATCTATATGAAGGCTTGATCGCAGCGAAGCAAAGGTGCAAACCTATGGCAATTAAGCATCCAATCCAGCATTTGATAGCATTGATCTATAGGAGGGCTTAAATGTAGCGAAGCGAATATGCAAAACCATAGTATCTAAGCAGTAAATTTGGTTTTTCATTTTCATTATTAATAAGCTTACCAACAACATAGCACATCAAAATATGCATGAATTAGCTTTACCAAAATCAATATGCCTCCTATTCGATTTGGAAATTGCACAGACTGCAGAACTGCCCTTCCAGAAAATTTCAACTACCAAAGATGTGATTCACGCCGTGTAAACAAAAGCTACAAAGCAAAACATAACAGTTTTCAAGCCTTAATATCTTGACATATAGACCTTTCTGAGCCGCTGGAATGACCCCAAACAATTGTACTCGAGCAGCAGTAACTTCCTGACACCTTTGCTCAACTTTTTGAAGACCCAAAAAACATGGCCAAAAATCGACGAAAAAGCATGAGGTACCCCTCATGCTTTTTTACGAAAATCAAACGATCGCGTTTTTTACCTTGATAACAAAGACTTTTACTATGGCATATATTGAATCAAAATGCTTCTATCGATCCAAAGCAACTTCTGAAACCACTTTTATGAGGTTTTCATATGCAAAATATGGCTATTTTCGCTAAAAACCCCATTTCATATTTTACTAAATTGCTCAACAATTTCATTCAAAATACCTATTACAATTAGTACCATTAGAAGCGCCTTGAAAATTACTTCAAGAATGTATTAGGAAGCGTAGGGTGATCATCACAACTTATATAGTCGAATATCAATAAATGGATTAAAGAAGACGACAGGAGACAAAATTTGGCCAATCTTGAACAGAAGAAAAACAAACTGAGCTTGAATTATTTTTGCTGGTGGTGCTGCTGATGATAACAATGATGGTTGCGATGCTGATCAAATGGGGATCATGGAGTCGAAAGGACAATTGCTTAGCGTCACAATCATCATTGTTATCATCAGAAAGGCATTTGGGTCATCCAGCAGCAGCGCCGCCCCTCAAAAAGTGTCCAAATTTCTATTCAAAGGACTCCCAAGTGAAGCCCATAATTCTACGCCACTCAGAAATTTTGCAGTGTAGTGCTGTTAGTAACATCATAATAGTGTTTCAGAATGTGACTCTGAAACAAGTTGTATTTTTATGCATAATGACACTGGTCTTTTGGTTTTTCTCCACCTTTCTGTCTGCTTTTTTGGTCGTCTCTTTCTATTTGGTCTTGGTCTCTTTCTATTTGGTCTTGGCCTCTTTCTATCTGGTCCTTTGGCGGTATCAAGTGGTGCCTTTATATCCTTGGCCGGCTTGCCACTGGTCTTGGCTCTGAAAAGATGCTGCTTTTTACGAAGAGATTGGGTTGCTTTGCCTTCTCATACAGATCTATCTTGGCAATCATTCGATGATGGAGTATTAGCCTGAACTCTCCCCAAACCGGATTTAGCCACAAATGCGTCCATTTATATACTACGGAATACATGCCATCTCCTAGTAACTTTCGTGTTGCTATGTACGCTATCCGTATTGGTTCTTTACGAGAATAGGGTAGTTGGTAGGGTGACGGCCTACCAAGCTGTTGATCTCGCGTATACATGTTACATCATGTGCTCTTTTGCATGTGGTCTATATCATGTAATTGAAGAGTAGGTAGTTGGTGGGGTAACGGCTCACCAAGCTGATAATCTTCGTGTGCTATCTGCCCAAAGTAAGGAAAAGTTCCTCTTGTTTTGGCTGCGGCAAGAGACGACTATACGCTATGCGTGAGGATAAGGGTAGTGAAGGGTCCTAAAAAAACTCCTGTGTATGAAAGCAATCAAATCTAGGGAATGCAATCCTCAAGGGAACTGTTCTGTATGGCTGCTTTGATATTCTTTCTGGAGGTGAAATCGAGTCAAAGCGGCCATATGCAGTCATATACAAACTGGTACGTATCTTTTATGAATGCAAAAGGTTCCTTTTACTAATATTGTTTCTCTGCTTAAAACTGCTTTACGCCCTAAATTTATTGATGGGCGTGGGTGATTAGGGGGGCATCGTTTGTGTGCGCCGCGGTCAACCCTCCTTTCACTCACTCGGTTGTAAATAGTCGGGCTATCGATACCTACTCTGGCCTGGCGACCCTCTCTGGTGAACTGCTATCACTGCTATTGGAGTGATAGTAGTTTCTCTCCCTTGGTCTTGGTTTATCTTCTTGTTTTTTATAATAAAAATAAAGCTATATTCTTCGTTATTTTTCAATGCAACCTCTATACTCCAAAATCATATAACAGGCTCAAATAAAAATATTGTCGTCGTGGCCAACCAGATACATATTAAAAAGTATTTGTTTGCATTTACAAGCATAATCATGAGATTCTGACTGATGAGGAAGGATAATAGACCTGAAATTTTATCAACAAGGATGTCCGTATTCGATTAAACCCTCAAATGAGATTGGAGCTAATTGTTCGCGAAAATACGCGCACTCAAAACCTGCCAGCTGTCAACGAGATTGCAGCCATCATTCCTAGCGAATATGATGATACAGGTTATAAAGATGCCAAAAATCATTCAACCTCAGTTGGTTTTTCTTCTGTTCAAGATTGGTCAAATTTTGTCTCCTCTCGACTTCTTTAATCCATTTATTGATATTCGACTATATAAGTTGTGATGATCACCCTACGCTTCCTAATACATGTCGTCTTGATAGATAGATCCAATGGTAGGAGTTAACAAATAACTTAGAGTGTAACTATTAGATTGAGATTATGTTCGAAGATGCCGTTTATTGAATGCATTTACAACTTATATTTATACTATTTCTGCGATCGATAATTACTTATTAATCAATGGAACTTTCGAGTAGATATAGTACTTGATATAGCAACTGATAATCAGATCAATGCTTGCTATCAGTTTCCAGAACCTTCGAGTATACGCTGGCGCCTTTTAGTCGCTTTCTTCAAATTTGGCTTAAACCTAAATTTAGACACGACATACAAGTCCCTGGTGGTAGGGCGAAGTGGCAGAACTCCCGTATGCCAACGGGAGGATCCCGGTTCAAATCCTGGTGAACGCAAGTTGTTTGATTTTTTTGACGTAGTACTGATGTCCTCGTTTGGTGTTTTGTGCTCTTATCCATGATCTATATTTTGACGATTTCCGCAAGACTGTACTGGCTCTAGGAGTCGCACCTTATTAGTAGTAGATTTCTTTCCCAACTTAGTTCAAAAAATATCTTATTCCCCTTCTTTGCAGACATTGGGTCCACCAACAGTCTTTTCTATCACTCAGTATGACATTTAAAGGACTTTAAATAAAACCTGGAGCTCGACTCCCCTACAAAAAAATCGCTTCCTTAAGCCTTCCTGGAGTACTTTTCAAGGTGCATCCAATGGCACTAAGTAAAATAGATGATTTGAATAAACTTATCAAATGATTTATGAAAATATGAAAAGAGGCTTCTGGCCAAAATGTCGAAATTTTACATATCAAAGTCCCACAAAGATAATTTCAGAGGTTGCTTTGTATCGATAGAAACATTTTGATTCAAGATATACCATATTAAAAGTCTCCATTTTCAAGGTGAAAAACGCAATCGTTTGATTTTCGATGAAAACCATGAGGGATACCTCATGCTTTTTAGTCAATTTTTGGCCATGTTTTTTTGGGTCTTCAAAAAGTTGAGCAAAGGTGTCAGGAAGTTACTGCTGCTCGAGTACAATTGTTTGGTGTTATTCTGACAGTCGAAAACGGCTTCCAACGCAAGAAATTGCAGTCGTTTTCATGAACCATTGCTGGTCATATTATAGTGTTGTGGCGTATCAAGATTGAATTGCTTAAATAAGCGTCTGTATTCAATCTCTGTATGACACCTTTCTGCGTTTTTTGCATTGAAGGAGCTTATACTGTTAATATCAAGAACATTCAGATGCCTGATATGGCTATGATTGTTCAGGCTCAAGTTTTGAAAGGCAAAGCCTGCTTAGATCACGCAAGAAACGATTAACAGCTCACAGTCTAATGAAGTATTTAGAATAATTAAGGGGTAAAGTCGTCCAAGCTATAATTTGAATACTTGAATCACATCAGCATTTCTCTATGAACCTACTTGAGAGACAAATCCAAACATTAAGAAGCAATTCCCTTGGTAACTTCAACACAACACTTGATTTCTTTAAAAACAAGAAACCCCTTTCTATCACCACCAAACATTTACAGTTATCTCAAAATTTGATGAGAACTTGTTCAGATCTAAATGCATTATTGTCACTTTTTGTGGTAAAATGATGTGCTTGATCACACTTGCATGAATATCTCAATTAACTATTATACAACGTATAGTTCATCTTGTGCGACTGCAAAGCCGCAATAGGGTGGGCATTTTGCTAGGCCACAATCTTTAGTGACGATGTGAATCTAGACTTTGTACAACACCGAGCGAGCAAGCATACGGATTTGCTTGTATGTGGTTGAAAGAAAATAATGAGATGGAGAAAGCTTCAGATGATCCATGGTGCCGCATGCAACAAAAAAGATATTAACATCTTAAATGCGTATCAAACTCTTAAACGGAGCAAATGGGGAAACTTGATTTGGACGCAGTAAAACATGAGATGCAATGATTAGTGACCCACGTTTCTGTTCTCATCCCAAGTACTACAAACAAAACTGACAAATATACAAACATAAATTACGACATATGAACTTTATTTTTTTTCGATTATCAACAATAATATGCAATATGACTCCATAATGTATCGCCCACCCTCCAAGCACTTAGCTTGAAATTTTTCTTCTGTCGAGATCCATCGCTTGCTGTTGGTTCGTGAGTGAAAAGTCTCTCCGGTGTTTTGAATGCCAGGATTACACAATGGAAATATGAATTATATAAGACTGGAAACATATGTGCATATTATGATACACACATATGTAGGTGTAAACAATTACTGTATTTCTCTTTATTGTGTATATATAAGGATGCAAAAATTAGTGTGGTTGATTGTGTGGGGGAGTACTTGCGCGCTGAAAGAGGATGTCTATAATAGAGAGGGGGGGGGGGGGAATACAGGTCTGATTGACTCAAGCAACATCGCCCACAACAATATAACTACGATTCAAGCATTAGATACACTTGAGCTGCAATACCAATGCCACCACTTACCCTTTGTCGGCCACCACACTTCTACATTTGAAAAAGACATTGTACTTGAGAACCCAGCGAGGCTGAACATTGGTATCATCCTTCACAACTTTGTGTTTACACAGTAATGCGGACAAAGCTTCAGGTGTTAAAATTTCTACAGTAGGATTGAGGCGTCAGCTTACACCGCCATCTATAATTAGATTCTCGATGTGTACGTACCTGTGGTATCTCCATTAAAAGTCATTTCAATTCCGTGCTCTTTACCAAGGTTGATCAGATCTTTGGGCAAAGAACAGCATTGATCAACATGCACTTGATCGATAGAAGGCTTTACTTTCAAATCTTCCTTATTGAGAAAATCTGTCAATGTTTGGTAATCAAAATCAGCCAACCCCAGCTTTGAAATCACTCCTCTCTCATGGTAAACCTCCAAGTCCTTCCATGCTTTGTTTACTGATGAATCGCTGTCATCGGCATCGAAAGAAACGATAAATGTATCAATAGATTTGACATCCAAAAGTTGCTGGAGATGATGAATAGCCTTGTCAATGTGGGATGGCTGATATTCGGTACAACGATCCAGGTAAAACAATTTAGCTGGATAGAAAAAAGAAGATTTAGGGTTCTCCGATCTTGCCCAAATGTAGCGACATCTAACCTGTAACTTCGACATCATTACGATCATCAGGATGAATACGGCTGCTTAATCTCAAGTCAGGGACTTCCAACAATTCAGTTTCTGTATAGTAGCGGAATGAGGGCTTATCAGGACCATTCAACGAGATGTCAAGTGTGTCAGAGATTGCTTGGACCAACTAATCGAGACATACATGAGCCATCCATACAATCTCTCCTCCCAATGGATGACCTACCTCTGTGTTGGATTTTTTATTCCAATGTTTCCCGGCAGTAGCGGTAGTTGATGTGAGCATGACATTGCCAGTATAGAGAACCAATTGCTTGAAATCAGGCACTATGGTTTGATCAGGGAAATGTTGGGAAGGCATATCAATTTTAAGAATTTGTTTTTTTCACTGAGAAAAAGAGAATGATGGAGGGGATCTGCTTGAGAGGATCTCCGTTTATATATGTTTTTTTTCGAGAATATTTGGATTTGTCAGAAAAACAAGATCCCCAGTCACTGAGATGTCCAAAGGGTCACGGTGAATCCGGCTTATTGTCTTGCCTCTCTTACTCATGTGGGCTGAAATCCTACTAGGTACAATATCAGTGAGCAAATTGTGAGTATTTCCGGGCTTTATCATCGGCTTACATTGCATCGTTTAGCATGCTGATTTAGTAGTTTTTTTTTTCTGATTTTTTAATGGAATAATGATGACAGAGTAAGCCTGATTACTAATACCCAAAATAAGGGATCCTGTCAAGGGTTACTATCCTACTTCGGCTGATATTGTCGGCTGATTTGCATGACAGAAACGGCAGCAGCAGGGAATTGCTGCTTAATCTCGCTCCGATTTGAATTGTCTTCTAAGCTCGTTATCTCTAATAATACATCCATTCTCTTCTGGATGATGAAATGACACAAACTTCAAAATTCGATTAGCAGGGCTTTCGTAAATGAGCCCTAGTATGGTGATTTACTTTTAAGTCCGTCTTGGAAGAATAGCAAAGAAATTGTAGCTAGAATCTGGCTCTGTATGAGAGTCGCCTGTTGACAGCCATACTAGTAAGCACGTGCTTTAAGAGGAGGAACAATCTCATTTTATGAACAATCTTAATGCTAAATTCATGTGTAGCTGATAAACTTAGACCTTGCACGAATCAATGTTATCTATCGACTGCCTTATTTCAATATGGAGGCACTGCTTGCTTGACAGTAAGATTATAAGTAGAGCAATCTGTATCACAGCATATCAAGTTGCTAATTTCTATAAAGCTATATATTCTTGTATAATGGGAAGCTTAGTCTTCAGCGTGCAAAAACCGGAGGAAATATCAATAGATCAAGCACAGCGGTAACTGTGCTGGCAATATTATGGTATAAACCGGCTCCATTGTGTATGTTTGGAAGGGATTTGTTAGAGAATAACGAAATTCAAGGGCTTCTTGTTACAACTTGCGAGGGAAATGACCTATTGTCGATAAATGAAAGTACACTGTTGTTTACTTGAGGACTTCCAGACTAGCTTGGGTTGCCAGCGTCCCACTGAGACTTGTGGAGGATCTTGTATGTTTGGTTTTCTTGTAAGAAGCTAACAGCTGTACCAACGCTTGCATCAGTCAATTCTTTGCCTTGAAGCAGCAATTTCTCATCTACAGGCTGTACATGCTTCTTGGTCAGGGCAATTGTTAATGGCATGCATGATCTATTGTGGGCCAGCACCTTTTTCTAGCAAAGTGAGCAGCAATGAGTACTATGGACACAGTGTGTGTAGTTACTTACAACGTGCGCCTTTAGCATTTCCCTCTGATGAGTTTTCATTATGGCCATTGATAGCTGGTGACACCATTAAATGGGAAGTCATGCCGATTCCAGTTTGAGTAAAAGGTCCTGCGCGAAGATTTCATGGCTAGTCGTACTATAAACATGAAGCAAAGGGTAGTATCGCATCAAGGAATGCCTTCTTTTAGCATACTTTGCGATTTATCTTTATCCAAGAGACTAAGAGGAAATGATGCGAAATCAATGAATTCAGACTGTGCATTCAGGTATCAATTTCACAAGCAAAGTGTATAAAGCTGCCTCTCAAGAATTGAGAGAAATGCTGAACATTTGCTCAGCCCTGCTAGCTAACCATCGTACTGAAGAGAGTTTACTTGACCTAATGTGGACTTAAACAGGCATTTCAATATCAAATTGAATTTAATCTATCAATGCACAAGAACGCGATGTTATATATATATATAATTGAAGCTTAAATAACCATGTGGCTTTCCTTTTTTTTTTTCAAGGTGTAACCTTACGTTACTAGCTTTATCCTGCTTTGTGTGAAAACTATGGAAGAATACCAATTTTTTGGTTGCACATTAACGTTATATATTCCCAGGTGTGTATTTGTAATAAAAATCAGAGCAGCGCCAAGGGAAAAAAAACAGCCAGGGACAATCCATTTGATCTAGTCATGGTGTTGATCGAAATAAACCAAATGAGCTCTGCCGCATTCACATTTGAGCATAATTTGCAAGCTGGACGCAGATCAAGAAAGTACAAGATGTTTGTGTGGCATCTTATCTCGAACCAATTATGTCTATCATCCTCGGCTGGAAAACTACAGGTTTATTTATTCCTTTAATATGTGATGATCCCAGTCTTCTCCACAGATTAATACACATCTGATTTTGTAGTAACTCCAATGACAATGGAAACATCCCGTTCTTGTAGTAGTATACCACCATGACTCTGTTCAAACACATGAAACGAAAAAAACTGGAAACTTTGCTTTATATGCCTGGATGATGGTTTGCTGTAAAAAAAAAAGCACTTCTTGATTTGGTAGGCTTAACAATGGCCAATATGTTAAAAGTATAATAGTGTGTGAATTTCCAGGAAAATATACACACTTTGGCGGCTATTCAACATGGGATGGAAGCAAGCGAAAACATCTCAAGTGTATAAGCTTACAAGAGAATTGCAAAGAAAATCAAGGCAGTTCACACTGTTCACATGCAAATGACAGAAGTGGCATCTACTGTTGCTTTTTCTGCAGTATCTCTTGATTTTACCAGATTCTCATTTTTGTATTTGAAAAATCCATTTGCCTGATTTAGAGACACCACTCTAAAATCTCTCTTTTTTATATAAAATTCCTTCACACCCAATGAATTCTCTCTCTTCTCTCTCTTGTTCTCATTTTTTTTCGTCTTTCTTCATTCTTCTTTCTTAGATACAACCATAAAAACCAAGCAATCAGACCTTAAATGGATTACAATGTCATTCAACAATCAAATAATTCACCGTCCTTATTACTGTCGAGCAACGGAAATAATATGATGGAGCCAAAGGCCATTTTACCAAGCAAATGTAATCATCATTCATAACCTAAAATCTACCCCACACTTACACAGACACATCCATCAATTTTAGGTTCAAATTGCAGAGACAGTAAAGTAGATTGCAACTGTAAATACGCTCTAGAAGCATTTGCCATCAAAGTATCTGACATTTTATGTAGCAGGAGCTCCTTGCAGTCATTGCAAATCAATTGGAAAATCGGATATTTGCTCCAACAATGAAACAACTGTGCTGCTAAAGGACAACAACAGAGATAAAATATTTGAATACAAGACGGATAAACAATCTTCAGCCATCAAAGCACCCAAGCGAGGCTATAAATCGCATGTTCCCAGTGCTTGTAAAGTTGCAATGAAGTATTTTGCATCAATTCAATACCAGTGTTAACATGTTTCTTTGAAAATAGGTGTAAACTGCAAAACAGCACATTTAGCATGTGATGGTAATCATCTATATACCCCTTTTTTTCAACCAAAATAAGCCATTAAACGAGATCTTTTGTAGTATCCAGGCCTTGCAAAAGATGCGTTTCGCTCAAGAAGGAAGATACATGTCAAGATATGCAGCACAAGAAGCGAGGAAGACCAAAGCTTCGAGAAAAGAGAATCTATTCCTCCAACGAGCACACATACGAGATTTTATATGGTACAATTCAGGAACCAGCCATCATGATGAAAAACTCATCTAGAAGCATTATACCTAATCAACAAGCTCCTCCATTCAAAGCAAATCCTTCTCATTCACAACAGCATCAGCCGATCATACCATCATCATCAGCCAACAACACCAAACGCTCATCCATCATTTCGTTTGTCCATGAATCTTTCCAGCCTTCGCCTCCATGCCCATCACCGCCCAAATCCATTGCAGCTACACACTTGTCCATTTCCGAAATAAGCTCAACAGATCAGTCTGCTCTGACCATAGATACAGTAGCGGTGGCTATACCCACTGTGCAGCTTTCATCAAATCCCCTCACATCGCAGCCCTTATTATTTAACAATCATATCAATTCGTCTGCTGCTGCTACTTACAATCCTGTTTTGAATCCATCGCCATCGCCACCCGCCTCTACCTCAACAACGACAGCATCAGAACAACAAGCACCGAGCTCGCTCACCATCATTTTGTCCATGGAAGTGTGCTGTGCAAAAGTATCAGACGACACCATCAAATGCTGGGGCTATTACCCGCAAGAGCTAGCGCATCGATCGCTCTATGATTTTATATCCAACAAAGATTCTGACCGGCTCGCTCGATTGCACAGACTGTTGATAGATAACGCCATCAATGTCATCAAGAGCAACCAAACAAACGATGCGGCGCCCTTGCCACCTACGGAAAGAACCACTTCTTCATTGTTTAGCAGTACAAATCAACAGCAACTGAGTGTCATTGCCCATGGTTCAAGGTCATTTTCGGATACGATACATATAAAGAAGCGTTCAGGCGAGTATGAGCTGTATAAAGTCATTGTCTACATTGGCGGCGGTCTTGGTGCTGACCTATATGATGCGTCCACGCTGTCCAAACAGTACATTGTTGCCCAGTTTCATCGCCATGAGTATGAGGTAATTGTGCCTCCACCACAGCCACAGCCACAGCCACAGCCACAGCCACAGCCACAGCCAATGCCCGCGACTACAACAACCACAATGGCAGCTATATCAACATCAGCTCCAACTGGCACAACGAGCTCAGTACCTACATCAAACAATAATACACTGCTATCCACCGATAATTTTGCATCTTATTACAGCAACAACACCACGATTCAGCCGATAGCCGTGTTCTCTCCCATGTCTCCCCTGACACCAACTTCGCCAAGCAATAGCAGTATCACAAATTTTGGAAATAACCATACCACATCAATCAGCTCTGCAGCTATTCGTGGACCCAGCACTACTACAAATCTAGATTTATTTAGACGGGATTCAAGTTTTAATAATAGCAGCTCTACGACTAGTAATCCCAAGTTCTCCAAGATTTCCTCTGCGCTACATCCCTCCTTATCGCCCAAATTCAACATTGCACCTACCACCAATACCAGCAACAGTCTGTTTCATCGATTCCAGTCTTCATCTTCCGTGTCACAGGCTTCTTCATCGACCCCGACGCCTGTGCACATGCAGAGCAGTTCCATGACAGTGACACATCCCACTCAGCAGTACTTCTTGCAAACATCTAGTAGCACACTCAATGCTGCTGCCTCTGCCGCGCAAAACAAGTCGAGATCCAATATACCTTCGCAAGAAACGACTGTTGTGACATCGGATAGAAAGATGGAAATGAGTATCCGATCTCTGTTATGTTGAATTCTGTACATATAAAGTATAACTAGAATCTATCCAATAAACCTATTGCAAGCACTTTTGCTTATTTTGATAAATACATGCTGTTGTGTCTACTTTGATTTGAGAATTCATAAGGGGATCAACCTCTATAACACTGACTGTCTTGCAACAGTTATTCTTCTCTAATAAATAGTCATCTCTTATAATGATCTACATTATAACTCTAGTTGTGAAACTCTTGAAGTCGAGGTCAAGGCTACAGAATAATCGAAAGCCTTAAACAGAGAATTCAAGATCAAGATAGCATTTTAAGTCATCTACAGAATCTGTATTTGTATGGCAACGCTTTGAAGAATGATCTCACTTTATAGCACTAGAGCATTGAACCTGATTTACCCTTTAATTTGCGAGTAGACATATATTTATCATGTATACCACAATCGAAAGACCCGTAATCACTACTACTTGTCGCTTACCACAAACAAAAGAGATTGAAGACTACTTCAAGAAGAAAAGCGAGCACAGAGAGACTATCCCTGCCGAATGCATGCGACTCATTTATTACTAGTCAGTCAGTCCTAATTATCAACAGGCGTTCCATTTGCATAGAATTTGCTTACCTCTATATGTGGTTGCGATTGCATTTATGTCTGCGGCATTTTCCTATACATCAACATTCTTAGTTGGCTCTACGTTTTGCATATTCAACAAGAAAATGCCAGCTGAAATGTTTCCGAATGCAAACTTCATCAAGAAACTTGAGCAAACAGCATATAAGATCGTTCTTTCTTTGCAACAGCAACAATTGGCAGCCTTCCACGCGAGATCTTGATGACTATCTTCAACTGCCTGAATTCACTTGCTGAAATGCAGATATGCAGCCATGTCAATAAACGACGGCTACTCTGTTCTACTGATACTTGTATCACAATGAGGACAAGCAGCATTTCATTAAGCATATCACTGCTATCGATACAGAGGAAGATTTTGAGGGTATTGAGCAAATGCTGGATATTTTAATCAACAGTTTGGAAACTTTGGAGGGCCAAGTGTCTTCTTCCATGTTTTTCATCATATTTAACAAGCTTTTGTACAACTTCAGATATTCTTTATAGAAAGTCGAAATGGGGTTCCCAACTGATTTTGGTACTTCATACTCCAACACGGGTGCAGTGGGACATTTGAATGAATTCAAAAAGCTGAAATCGTTGCGACTCAACTTTTACTTTTATGATATTGCATAAACAGGAACGATTTTGAAGAATTGCGACACGATACAAGACTTGACAATTCACCTGCATCTAATCAATGGAACTGGAGTACCAGGAGACTTTGATACTTGGCTGAAAGAGAGTGTAAGACAGATTCAATCCCTCAAAATACTTAAAGTCAACGTCAGTCGACATTATCATCTCTCACTGACCAAGTGCCTCTTTTACAAGTATCCAAATGTTGAAACTGTGATCGTTGAAAAACTCTTTTGCAGATTACGACTGGGCAACAGACCTTATTCTGGATGTTTTGCAGGGTATTAAAGTGAAGCCTAGGTTTAATCTCGAATGCGCTGTAGTTGATGATGGGTTTGATGTGATCATTGAAGATCTGCAATCAGAACGTTACGTTGACTTAGAGAATGATCCATGTTCTCTGAAGACAGCAGCAGTGCTATTGCAAGTAAAATCAGATTCTGCAATGGAAAATATGGTTCCTTCTCCTATCGAACGCCCAGCTCCATCGCGCGTTCGCTTCCCCACTCAGGAGGAAATCTTGACAGCCCCAGACTCTAAAGATTCCTCCCCTGAAGGCTATTCTGAAGGCTATTCTGAAGACCTTTCTGAAACCTCTGATTACTGAATAATGATATTGTGTATTATTAATTAACTAAAAAATAGATTCATTGGTAAAATCTAAACTAAATTGCAGGTATACACAAGTGCGTCGACTCTAAGGATTTTCCAAGTAAATGAACTCAAAGACGGTATCGTCATTTTCAATATCTCCATCAGCCCTTTCTTGAAGAGCAGCATCACCAAAGATATGTTGATCGTTCAAATTGGCATTTCATGCATCGATAAAAAGGCCCAAGATGATGTCTCTATCGTCACTGTTGAGAATAAGATTGTTGATAGAGACTTTTTCTTCACCGCCCATGTCTTGTGAATTCAGTTCTTGCTGGTCGTTGACTGCACTCTCTTCGTTACGATCATCATCAACGCTATTTTGACTGTCTACGCCAGAGGTTGGATGTCCAGTATCCTGCTGAAGACTGTTTTCATCCTCATTATCAGCATGAAAGCCCTCTTCATTGATCATTCCATTATCTGTTCGAAAACCCCCCATTCTCGTCCTCAAAAGCTTCAGCGACATCTTCTTGTTGATAAGAGGTCGCTTGATTAGGTCTATAGTTACAAGGGTGGTCGTCAGAAAACTGAAACGTAAGATCAAGTTCATCGATTTCATCATCATGTCCGTCTTGAGTTTCTACCCTAAAATGTGCCTCCATATGGCGAAATAGCCGTTCGAGGGTGGGATAGTGAGAGTGATACAAGCTACAGGCATGGCGGATAGCGACAAAAACTGCATGCTGTGGGATATTATCGGAATTGGGTGCCAACGTGTTGAGGTAAATGTATTGCTCGGTTGGTATCATTTCGATGTGTGGTGGCTCAGGTCTATTGTATCACACACTAGGAATAGCATGATCTTCATACAAATGTCTGTTGAGATCTCTTGTGTTAATATACATGCGACAGCAAATGAAGCAGGTGTTGAGTAGCTGTACAGTAATGCGGTTGTCGTTGAGATACATTGTAGATGTTTAGTATTGATGTATTGTTGATTTATGTAGATAGGACCATTTCAAAACTCGATTTAGCCCGTTTCTTATATACTCCTTGCTTGCGGTAATGGGTATCCCATGAAAAACGTTGCCATTTTGCTTGCTCATCACCACCTTGACGGTGATAACTATCAGTCAATGAGACAATAATGAAATTTGAGAGTAGTTTGTGCTACATGTAAACCTGTCATTATTGTCTGTTTGTGTATCTGATGCACACAAAGCGCCCAGACCATTCGGTATCCTAAAATGTAGATGCTCTTTATCATTTAACTCGTCCAAACGGACCTTTTATTTCAGATGCTCATTCTCTCATGGCAAATGTCTCAATTTCATTTGTTCATCCAACTATAAAAGATGAAAGCATCTCCTTTTTTTCTTTTTACAATCCTCTATTCTCTTTGGATTTCATTGTTGTAGAATATAAAAAGGGGCGTTTGAATAAATTTCAAGGAGCAAATCAATGAGGCTTGTGTTCTTTTATAGATTACCCCTTTTTTTTCTGCTTCTATTCATGGCCTCGGTTTACGTATGTTTTGATGTTTTCATACATTTCAAAGGCAGATAATTAATATAACTGACCCCTTCCCGTATTATTCCTTTCTTTTCCTCTTTCTTCACATAAAAACAACAATACAATGGGATTGCGAAACGATTATAGAGTCTCGACAATTGTAGTACTATGCAAAGATTGTGACCAAGATGTAGGGTTATATCCTGCCAGACACAAGTGCAATTCCAGCAACAAGCTACCACAGCTACCAACGCTTTGCTCGAGCACTACGACCTCATTTGCAAACTGGAATAGTCGACAAGATGATCAAGATGTGCCAGACCTTGTGGATTCTAATCCCATCTCAACCACTGTAACACGGCAAGCTTCGGATAGTTCAATGGAAAGCGGCAAATGGAGCTTTTTTAGAAGTAGCAGCACATCAGATGTCAAAAAACATTGCAATGATGAACAGGAACGCCCAGCTGACGATGAGGATGGATCTATATATTTCGATAACTATGCATCCCATCTCAAAAACTCTTCCTCTTTGAATGATCTCAGTAACACACCCTCTCCGAACGGCAAGAGACTATGGGGTAAAATGAAGGAAAATGAAAAATGGAAGGAGTTGATAGCAGAAAAAAGTAAGTACTACAACGACATGGCGTCATGCATGCTGAAACTTATGGCATCAGAAGAAGAATCAAATAAATCTGGCAAGCTTTGGGAGAGAATCATCCATGCAACCATGTCAAGCTCAGCGGAGGAGGATGGACCAGGTACGTAAATGATGTGTAATCGTGCAATTTTTCAAGGAGATTCATATTGCTTTATACCCTTTTAGAGTCAGATGACGACGATTGGGAGGGAGAAACGCATGTGTCTAGAATCCTTCGAGAGTATCATCAAAGTATCGGTACAAAATTATTGCCTCCATGGCTGTATGATGATCGCACACCCATCTCAGCATTAGCCGACGTTCCAAGTACAGAGCATCATGTCATACAAGATCAGTTTATGAATCGCAAAAACTCATCTCGCACTCGTCGATTATGGCAACCTGTAGAAACACAGCAATTATCATCTAGAGAAAGAGAATTACAAACATTAAGAGGAGAGAAAAAGACATCATTCGAAGAGTTTTACTATAAAAAGCCATCTATTCTACGTTCTCAAAGTGAACGCATGCCCTCGCATGCCTCGTCTCTGAGGAACACTCATCATGTCCAACATCCAAATATGACAACTGATGCGGAATCTGATCAAATCTATGGATCCACAACACCTAGACGTATGAACACCACTCGATTGCCACCATCTTCACTGTACCAACATGAATCTAAGCATAATATACCAACAAACTCGCTGCCAAGACCCGTTAGAAATAATACTTATTTTTAAATTCAACATCGTTTTCATATCCATGAATAAAACTAATGGCTATTAATTTGATATATAAATTGTATGTAAATTGGCCTCACTCAAATGAACATTGGGGGCCCATTTTGTTGAATTAGAGTCTGTTTTTATAGTGTCAGGCCACTACAATCAAAGAGATAATATGAGTACATGTCTGTTTTCATTGTTGCTCAGAATATTGCCAAATTTGGAAATTGTTGTCGGAGTATGAAGTTAATGGCAGATCAGAAATCTGCTGTCTACTATAAGATTTCTACAACATAATAATCAACGAAAGCATTCGATTTATTCAATAAATAGTAGGTATTTGACACTGAACAGCAATTTAAAGTCTAGCACCTTGGGGATAATACTTCATGGCTTGTCTGATACCGAGGTCGGCCATGATTTCTTCAGAACCACCAAGAATGGCGCCAAACTTGTAAGTTCTTTGGAATGCTTCAACAGTACGGCCCATACCGGTCTTGGTGATAGCGCGACCACCGAAAATTTGACAAGCATCATCCGCAATGTTGTGGGAGACTCTGGTAACTTGATACTTCAATAAACCAATTGGACCTGCTAACTTGACTGATTGTTCCAAGTAAGGCATGTTGCACATCTGATAGGTAATATTTTCCAGCCAGCTCTCAACGGCCTCTAGTTGGGCAACCATAGAAGCGAGTTTGTTGCGGATGACAGGTTGATCTATGAGACGTTTACCAAAGACCTTGCGCTGAACAGCCCATTTAAAGCAATCCTCGACAATTGCGCGCGAAGCACCGGTTACAGCAGCGCAGATGTAAACTCTTTCGTGCGAAAAGTTGAACATAATGACCTTAAAGCCTTCACCTTCCTTGCCGATAATATTCTCTGCAGGTACCTTGACATTTTCAAAGGTAATATAAGCGGTACCAGCGGAGGGAGAGTAAGAAGTTTTGATCTGCTTGGTCTCGATGTTGTCATCTCGCTCAACGAAAAATACAGTGATTCCCTTCTCAGTGGTGGCAGCAACAGTAAAGTAATCAGAGAAAGCACCATTGGTAATCCACTTTTTGACGCCGTTAAGAATAAAGTGCTTTCCATCAGCGGTACGAGTAGCGGTAGTGCGAATACGAGCAACATCTGATCCAGCATAAGGTTCGGTGATGGCAAGACAGATACGCTTCTTACCGAGTAAAACTTCAGGTACAACACGGGCTTTGAGAGCAGGCTTACCAAAGTTGAAGACAGGAGGAAGACCGATACTGTAGCCGGAAGAGATGCCATCAGTAAATCCAGGGGCACCAAGGCGAGCAGTTTCTTGGTGAGCAATCATTTCATGGAAGAAATCAAATTCTTCGGGAGTAACACCACCAGGCAACTTCATACCTTTGAGATGGTCGCCAGGACCGAGCTGAGATGCCAATACACCAGCCTCACCTAACTTGGCATAGAGTTCCTTGGAAGGATAAGTGCCTTGATCTTCAGCTAAGATAGCTTCAGGTCTAATCTCATCATAGATGGCACGAAGAGCCTTGCGGAATCTAGTGTGACTCTCGCTAAAAGGCAACGCATTTGACAGTTAGTAATGCAATGAGTTTTAAAAAAGGTACGCTGGCATCAACATACTTGAAATAAGGACTCTTAAAGCCCATCCAGTAGCTAGGTTCAGCATAAGGGACAGTAGAAAGATCGCCAGGAGCAGGAATAGTAACTTGAGCTACTTCACCTTCAATGGTACCAATCTTGAGACGAGGAGCGTATTTGATCAAGACTTCTTGACGATGAAGACCATAAAAATCATCTAAATTGTTGGTTTTGGTGGATGTTAGAAATGTGCATCTATATTTGTATAAATTAAATTGCTAGTTCTTTACCTGTAACATCCTTTCCACCTAGTTCAATCAAGATTTGGCTTCCACCAGGGTGCAATTGAGCAAATGTGGAGACGTTGTAAACAGCACCATCAATAATGATCCAGCAATCATCTTCGGTGTTGTGCTTGGCAACTTCAGCTCTAGTGAATGATTTCAATTCGGGCATGTTGTTTTGTAAAGAGTAGGGGGTAGGATGAAAAAAAAAAAGAGAAAGATGTGAGAGATGAGGTGGGAAACTTTTGTGTTAAAGTATGCTTTATTGCTTGTTAAAAAAACACATGTGAAATTTATGTTGCTGTTTATATGTCATCAGTCATCAGAGTTACTCGGGAACCAATGAGACATTTAAAGGAGACACAATAACTTGAACTTGCCGGGCTACAATGCAAATTGATGTAACGACTAAACTTTCCAGGTGCAGGAGGAATCATTTATCCTGGTTATATCATTCATAGCAAAAAAAAAAAAAAAAAAAAAAAAAAAAAAAAAAAAAAAAAAAGAACACGCTGCTATTTAATGATTCAAGATTTTCTCAGGAGCATTCGATTATAGAGGCAATGTTTACAGACCTCACAATTGCATAGTCATAAATCACATCAAACACATGCACTTCCCACTGGTTTGTGCATATATTTTGCAATGAAATGCGCCTTTGATAAAAAAAATGTCATGGCATATTTTTCGATACTATTCCACCACAATCAATAGTTTTATCAATGTAATGCGTAGCGAGTATACATAGTTATTTGGAAGAGTCCTTTGCTATTGTTAACCAACTTAAACTGCCTTCGTATTTACTGTCATCACAAGCTCAATCACTTAGTCTTGCATGTATCTTAACATTTCACTGCCTTTTTCCTTGGCAATCACATTAATTGTACCTGTTACATTTGACAGTTTTTCAGGATTCATTTGCTTCAAGACTTGATACGAAGCCATGGTAGTTTCGTCAGTCTCATCAAAGTCGATATTGAGGGTGGCATAAGCCTCTGCTAATCCAGACGTAATTTTGTTATTGAGGAGATACTGCTCGACAAGTCGACTCAATTCTTTCGAGTTTTGCTCTGATGTAGTTGAATATGGTGTCCGTGTCCATTGAACCTTCTTGTAACACCAACTCGCACAGCCATTTCTGAAATTTCAGCCTGGTGCCTGGCGTAACTCCCAAGTTCAGGAATGGATCTGCAAAGCAGGTAATGTATAGGAAAGTCGATTTTCAAGCTAATTTTGCATCCGCAACAAGCAAAATGGGTTGCTTCTTTGTTCTAGGAATGGAAATGACGATCCAAGTAGCCCTGGGCTTTGCAATTTGTAACACTGTTGACTGCAATGACTTGTAAATAATGATTGCATTCGCTACATGCAAATTCGAAGATTTTGCCAATATAGTCCCTGTCAAATTGCTCTTCACAATGCAATGAAAAGTAATGTAAATCGCAATGCGTTTCATCTGTTTTCGTTATTGTATTGAGGTAGTAGATCAATCGAGATGTCGAGAAGCCGCATTCAAGGTTTGAACTTTTCAAGGGCATTTCACTGATGAAACTTTGGAAGGGAAGTGAAAGGGATAAAGAAAGATGTCGACATGGATTTTACCAAATTTATACAAATACAATACCCCCCCCCCCCAGGCAATATAACTGCTAAATCAAATGCCGTATTATGCCCTACACAAAGCTAATATTATTTCCAGCACCACTTCTATTCGAGCCATTCTATACACTAAAAATCTCACTGGCACCCCATTAAAAGGAAGCAGAAAAAAGAAGCAGAAAAAAAAAGATGTCCTTGATTTTTGCTCGACATATAATTTGGGATACATTCAATGAAATCACTGTGCACTGTTATATCACAAGAAAATACCATGGCACCATAGTATTTGATCTGCCCAATTCTATAATCAAACCTGAATTTCTTTTTTGGACGTGGGGTATCTAAATTATGGAATACATTCACTCTGATTTGCATTGCGATAGTTCATCCAGTTATCCGATTGAGATATAAACCGTATGCACTGGACTAGATATACGATACAGATTTATACTACAATAAGGAATATATAAACTTCAGATACGCTAATACTATAAGATTTATTCTATACACTATATAACATGGAGGCTATAGACTACAGATGTCTGCCATATTTGGATGAACACCAGGATCGATGCAATATAAGCTGGATACTTCAGATGCACACTTTATGATCCACACTATGAGACACATGCGTAAATTCGTAATACTACCTACAGATAATATATCATGTACTACAGACTTGTGCTATATATGAGATATGCTATAGACATGCCATAATATCCAGATACATGCTAAGAATGTATACTCAACGATATACACTCGGACATGTACCATTAATATAGACTAGATAGACTTTACCTATTGAATACATGCTAATGGATCGATATTAATAATCCTCACATAAAAGATAGATCAGGGCACTTTGGATAAGAGTTTAAATATTTATCTAGACAGAACTATATCACGTTTGGTTTGCTGGAGTTGTCTTTATGAATAGATATTAATTGATCTGAGTTGGCTTATAGTATATCCATTCTCATTAGTAAAGCTTTTATCCATTGCTAAGGTATACAAGAAGGCTCATCTACCTGGTCAGTAGAGATTTTTTTTTACTTTATTATACCTTTCATTTTGATAGATAATATACCTTTATCAAGTAGGCTTTATTGTTTACACTGTGACTAAAAAAGATTCAAATTTATCTGAATATATTAGAATTTGACCAATTTTTTCTGAAATATCCTAAAAATGTCTTAATCACTCTGAATTTGTCCAAATCCCTTTGGAAATATTCAGATAAATTCATGCAGATGAAAATTAATAAATTAAGCTTAGAGAAATTTGGAGAAATTTAGAAAAATTTAGATATTATTCAGCGATTTTTTTTACCACGAAACGATCTTCATCAGAAAAGCGAGTAGTCATCGCTACGCCATTTTTATTTCTTATTTGTCAACTGCTTCAGATTCTTTCTTGTAAGGGAGTCGTGCTCCATTTTTTATTTAGAGGTCTCTGAATGTCATAATAGGATAGGAAGAAGAAAGAAAGAAGATATATTATTACAGAGCAACAATAGAAAGGAAACAATATTAACTAGTTATTATTATTAGGAATGAATTTTCAGCTTTGCATGCGACCGGGCAAAAGAATGAGCATTAAGATATAGAACAGTGGGATGGCTAGTAATTTGGAAGGATGTACAAACATCAGTTTGAGAGAAAGGTGACCATGATGTTGGCGTATATTTATTTTATGCAAAGTCAAATATAGAATCATCATTGTATACTTTCAAACCAATTCTTTTCATATCAGGCCAAACAAAGAAGAGCTTCCCAGATATGGCAGACTTCAGAACTGCAACTGAAGACAAAATATCATCGACAGCTATTATATCCAGATCCCATGCACCATTGGAAGTATCCGAGTTGGCATTGTCAAGGAAACATTCAGGGATGCCGGACGTTGATACCGTTACGTTCTGATAGACTTGGCAAACGGCTAGAGCATGTGATGCACCAGAGAAGTTGTGCTCAAAGATGAGCAACACCTTTACCAGCAATGGTAGCGAACTGCGGCGAGCACAATTGACCAGGGCATGGTCTGACAGCTTCTTCTTTCTACTTGGTGGATCGAAAGTAGAGTCGATCGTGATGTTGTTGCCAAGTCGTAGTGAGGTAGCGCACTTGATCTGCGGATTGACACGAGCAGTGTTGTAATGTTTGCACAACATAGAAGCAATAGACGGTGACAGCTTGATGTCGCCCATATTCAATGATTTCGAGAAGGTGATGGCAGTATCCGTCGAATTGTCAAATGCAATTGTCCTTCTTTTTTCATAGCTGTTACATGCAATATCCAGCATGATATTTTCCGCTTGTTTTGCAACTTGACTACAGCCATGGATCCTCTTCTTGATCATTTGGATCCTTCTCTCCAAAACACGGCAACTGTACTGAGGCATGGGGCCTATCTTTCGAATCACCATCGTGATATGCTCCAAATAATGTTCGCTGGTTGGAAAGAATTTTGCTGAGATGTGAAGACGAAGAAATTGGTGCCACTTGGTTATTAGTTCCTCCAATTTTTGTATCTCGCTCTCAGATATATCCTGCTGCAAGCATACTGAGCAAATCAGAGATATTGTACGTAGGGCTTCCTTGGCAGCTTCAGAGACAGTAGGATCCAAATGGCATAAATCAACGTGGTCGATAAGAACTGTGGGCACAAAGTACTTCAGGAACACCAACCAATCTACTCCTCGAGCTGTCCCTCCCTTGCTGAAGACATCCATGAAATTGCCTTCGAAGATCAAAGGTGATGTGCTTGCAAGTTGGTTCAAGCAAATGCTAATCTTCTCTATTTGTCGCGGCTTCAAGCGAAGAATCGATTCCTTGTCCGTAAACATTTTCTTGATTCTTGGTCCCATGTTTTGTCCAAACAAATGAAATTCATCCAAGCCCACAAACGTTGGATCAATGAATGATGGCAGGTTTCGAAACAAAGAAGGCCTCTCGATACCAAGTTCTGGTGCACTGGATTTGTATTCTTCAATTGTTAGCAATCGTAGTGGTCGATCTTCATCATTAGCTGCTAGTTGAAAAGAAATAACACCATTTTTGCTGATGCCAATGATCGTACAAAAACGGCAGCCTTGAAGCGACGTATGGGATGCGAGGAAATTGAGTTCGCTGACGCTGGGGATATCACCAAAGGATCCCATGAGGTGGACTTTGAGCGAGATATTTGTTGAGTTGTTTCTCTGCACTTGTAGTCCATCACGAGCCAATTTTTCCAATTCGCTGACAAGGTATTGAAGGTAACTGTCTAATCTCTTGGTGTTTGGGATAATGGCGAAATCAATCAGGAACTCCATTTTGTATCTATAGGCAGAAGGAAGGTTCAAGATTTGTAGCATGACCAAGTTCAACTTTGCACCGCCTTTTTTGTGTGATTGGAATCCATCTACGTACAGGGACAGGCCAATGTCGTATCTATTGTTGAATAGATGCTTGTTGTTCACTAAATTTTGCATTATATCGCCCTTGAACCTTGCTCTGATGGATGAATTCTCGTCATCAAGCACTCTGATAAAGTTTGGATTTTCGAACAACGTGGCAAGTTGTGGACCGATTG